ACCTAATGAGAAGGAAGGACTCACTGGAGAAGAGCCTAATGCTGGGAAAGATTGAGGGCAATAGAAGAAGGGGACGACAGAGAATGAGGTGGCTGGATGGAGTCACTGAAGCAGTAGGCGTGAGCTTAAATGGACTCCAGAAGATGGTAGAGGACAGGAAGGCCTGGAGGAACGTTGTCCATGGGGTCGCGATGGGTTGAACACGACTTCGCAACTAACAACAACAACAACTTTAACGTTGAGATAAGAGCAATCCATAGCCTCCTCACATGTTGGTCTCTTTTCTCTCTGTTTGTAACCTCCCACCTCCTGTCCCCCATATGCTTGTAAAGATCTAGATAAATTTGCTACTGAGGACATCATGGATCCCATTGCCAAAGCCAAGATGGTAGCTTTAAAGGGTATCAAGAAGGTCATGGCGCAAGGCAGCATCGGGGTTGCTCCAGGCATGAACAGGTAAGCAGAAAACTGGGTCATTGATGGAGCAGAAGGTTTTGAGGCAGGACTCCCATGTAACAATAATAGTAGTTGCTTACAGCTGGAGCTTCCTCCTCATTATTAAATTCAGATAATGAGTTTTATATGTAAAAGATAAACGATAGATTTGCATCAGCTCTCCTGCCTGAGTTAATATAGTAGCCTGGTGCCTACTAAACTGGAAATTTTAGGGGTTGTGCTGCAGAGTAAGTAGAGAAGGGCTACCCTGTCATTCGTAGCAGAGCGTTTTTAATTTTCATTTGATTACTGAAGAGGTAATTATTATTATTATAATAATGTTCTGGAAGCAAAGACAGTGGCTTTCTAATGATGGTTTCTGATGAGATATTTACATTGCAACAATGAAAATACAAAAAGGCCATCTGTTCCCCACGCCTAGTCTTTTGCAGGAAGTCCTTGCTTAACAACCCACCGGTTGCTTAGTTGTTGAGCAAAATCGCTTTATGGTTGTTAAGCAAGGTTATGGCAGACCACCCAAAAGCTGTTTATGACCAGTCCTGAAATCATAGCTGTTGTACCACTCCCATGGTTGTTTGTCCTTATGGCTGACCGCAGAAATGCTGCAGTACTCTCCCGCCTAGCTCCCCCACTAGGTCCCCTCAGGTCTTTCTCCACCATCACCATGGTCTCCACAGGCCTCTTCTCCCCCAATAGGTCCTTGCAGGGCTTGGGCCTCCTCCCACCCACCCTCTGTTACTGATTAAACACTTTGAAAATCTTGGGAACTCTGGAGCTTTCTGCAGTGCTGTGTAACCTGGATGGCCTCATGGCAGGTTTCCAGAAGCAGCTACCATTTCCCAAGTGATCAGAATTGAATGCAGCCACTTGGAAAATGGCAGCCGATTTTGAATCGCACCATGCAGCTGCCGGACAAAGCAGTGTCCCTTCTGCTTCCCTAATGCATTCTGCACAGCACTGCAGTTACCTCCTCGGAGGTTTTCACCAATCAGGAAGGTCATGAATCTAATAAACAGGTGACCAAACTCGGAACTTGTTTGCTTCCTTGGGGCCAAGAGGCTGCACCTGCACCCCAGGCATCTCCACGGGTCCTGTACCAAGGCTAGCATCCAGTTGGAAACGGATATTTTGTTCGCTCTTTTGGTTCGCTTGATGTGCCAACAATTTACCAATAATTTAACTTTATTCTCCTCAAAGCAGTTTAATTTGCTCAGTGTAGAAATCAGCTAGCTCCATCTTAGCTAACATAAAAGCATTATATGTTTCGGTAGGATTTTTTTGCATTGACTGAAAACTTCCTTTAATTCCTGTTGATAATGAAGATTTTTAAATTTCCCTCACCAAGCAACATAAACAAGGATCCAGGTCCTTCTGTTCATCTTATATGCATCCCAAATTATCTGAATACTAGTTGGATTACAATTGTTTTTTTTTAAATGATAATGTTTGTTGTCTAATATAAATAGAAAAATTATTACGTTATCACAGAAGTATTAAAATTTTAGCATTAACTAACATTTTTAAATTGAAGTGTTTCTGTGATTGAAGTTTTATCTGATGTAAGAGCCTTAGAATCTAAAACACGATCTAATAAAAGACAAAAATAAAAAAAATAATCGCAAAATATTTGTGACATGGGAAGTAAATGTATAATCCATACTGGTGGGATAAAGTCTATGTCTGTGACAAATATATACTGAATTAAGTGCATGGCAATAAGCATAAAACATTTTCTAATTCTGATTATAAGTACATTTTGGGTAGGATGCTCCAATCCATAATAAAATCAAAGGCGTAATTGAGATCTCCACCAAAAATTTTGAAGTCATGAAAACAAATCTTGTTTCTTGGTTGGGAGAAGCTTACTTTGAAAGACTGTGTCATAAAATCTAAATACTGTTTCCTAGTCCAGGGGTGAACTCTGGAAATTGCTGAATTCTAGCTACTGTCAGTCCCAGACAATGTGGTCGTATGTGAAGGACGATGGGAATTAACGGAGGTCCAGATGTTACCCATCCAGTCCTAGATTAATACTAGCTGTATTCATTATATTTAATGGTATCTTCCAATCATTCTGTGCCCTGCATCCTTCCTCCTTCTAGGCAACAAGTCTCTTTGCTGGCTCAGAGGTTATCTGGAGCTTCATCTTCATCTGAAATGACAAATCACATTTTACCTGTAACTGGAGGGCAGGTGAGTAGTGATTGGCAGGCTGAGTGAGATTTTCTGTTGGTGGCTTTGGGGGAGTTGAGGTGATTCACTTGGTGTCAGGTGCAAAACCAGACTCACATGTGCAGAGTTCAAGCTAACTACTTTATTTGATTCTGCCTTTATAATACTGGAATCTTCCCCAGTCTGGGAACCTTCTCCTGGGAGCTATTACATAAGGCTCCAAGGAACCTGGGGGGGGGGGGGAAGGGTGTTATTGGTCCTAGCCCTTTTGCAGTTGTGCAATGACTCCAGGCTGACTCCACACTTGATCTCTCCTCCCTGCCAGGCTGAATGCTTCCGAACAATTGGCAGTGCAGAATAAGGGTTTTGGCTAGAGATGCTATAGAGAAAACAGTAGGTGGAAAAAAAGACTTCTGGTTTGCCATTGTGGCCGCTGCGACCGCTGGAAGGCGAGCTCCGTCTTCCACGTTTGATTTCGCTCCGCTGGGGGACCCTGGAAAGGGTCAAAGGTCACCCTGTAGGGGCAACGAGCAAGGAGAGGACCCCCACTTGATCGCAGAAGAGCAGCAGCCCTCCTGCTCGATCCGGAGCAGCCCTCCAAATTGGCGGAGGAAAGCCCGGCCATAGTAATATGGCCTGTCACTAGGCTGCAGACAGCCAAAGTCAAACTTACCACCAAGCACTTTGAAACCAATGCGGATGAAACTGGGTGAGATCCGATCTTCTCTTTACCCTAAGTACTTTCTTTTCCTGTAAAAGCTGCCTGAAGTATCTTTCCCTGTGAGGAGAGAGGGAAGGGAATTTCTATCCCACCCTCTAAGAATAGCGGCGACTTACTACCCAGGGGAATTAAAGCATTAAAAGAACAACTTTAATCTAATTGGATTTATATGTTCCTGAAACTTGGGGACCAAATCTTTTCCTATTTTTATTGGAGACTTTTGCTTTTATCTACAAAAAAGAAATAAAATTGGAAAAAGGATTATAAAAATTTTGGACTTAAAAAACCTTAAACGACATCAGTGACATCTTGTGGTGAGGTTTGGTATTAGAACTTATTTCCTAAAAGAGACTTGGCTCAAAGCCCAGACCTTAGATAAGACTCTTTTGATCTTGGCACCACATGTGAGAAGCTCAGCTGTAAGAGAACAGCTGGGCGGCATAACTGGCCCACTTGAACTGTGAATATAAACCTTTACTGACTTTCAGAGTTATATGGGGAATTCCTATCTCTTTATTTGAGGAATATTGGTTACTATATGAGATGATGAAATACCTTGGACTATAAAATCTTGCTTGACAAACGACTTCTACTATCAAGACTATTTATAAACACGTGAAAGAGATGGATGAAGACCAGGAAAAGATCCTTTCCATGTTGAAAGCAATACATGAAACCATTCTTTCAGCTTGTGATAAAATGAGACCTAACATAAAAGATCAAGACGCCAGCTTAGATATACAAACCCAGACTTTGACTACAACCAAAGAACTAACAATGCAGAAGATAACAGAAGAAGTGGAACAATCAAATATTAAGACAGAGGACTCAATTGACCAACAAATACAGTTAATGGAAAATCCAGAAAAGGGAGTGATAACATTGAAAATGGAAAAGACTTTCTATATAAATCAAGAAATTTGAGAAAGAAGAAGAACAGATTGAATGGAAGATAAACATATCAGGGCAATCATGGGGAATTGGAATAATAGGAAGACAACTTAATGAATACAAATGGGCTAGTCCTTCCAAAAAATGGCAATTAAATGGTCTCCTTCATTTCAAATAATATATATAATAATAGAGGGAGATCTATTTGACGATCTAAAAGCACTGATATGGAAGCCTAGTTGGCAAAGGAAGAAAGCCAAAATAAGACTGAAGAAAATTGGGGTTTGATTTATTAGAGGGGATTTCATATTAGTAATTAGAGGGTTAAAGGGAGAAGTTGAGATAAGGGGAATTCTGGTCATTAGATTTAAAATACTTGGAAATTAGTTGAAAATAAGGATTTTATCTGTTTAATATTAGACCTAAAAGAAAAAAAAATAATTATTATGAATATGTTTGATTTATTGATTAACCCAGGTAATATATATAAGAGATATTGTAAAATAGATAACTTTTAGGAAATAGAACAAGATTATATTCATATGGATAAAATGTGTACTTTGGATATTAGATTCTGTTATGAATTGAGATAAGGGAAATCTTGGTTATCTAAAGCCTGAAAATTATAAATATCAAAGGTTAAATTGGAATATTGATGGGAAACTAAAAATTGGGAAAAAATTAATAACAGGGTATGGATTGTTTATGAAGATTGAATGTAAAAAATAATTAAGATCCGTATAAGCTAAAAATTTATTGTTAAATGTAATAATGATGTTTTTACTGAGTTGATATAATAAGAACTGTATTAGCATAAATATGAGACAGTAAATGTTAAGGGAAAAAGGAAATGTTTGATGTTGTAACTTGAGATTTGTACTAAAGATTTTGTCATCGAACTATTGATTAACCCAGCCACCACGTTGCTTTTTAAATACTTAAATGTAAAATTGGAAAATTAATAAAATATTATATAAAAAAATAAAAATAAAATAGTAGGTGGAGATTCATTTTTAGCCATAAAGTTTATTAGGTTACTTTAAGTTATCTCAAGGAATAATGTATAGGAGGAGGAAGAGTTTTTTTTAAAATCCATTTTGAGGTAGTTTGTGCATAAATGAAATAGCTACTGTAAAATATTAAAAAAAAAGATGACTTATAGTTCTTACAATTTAAAATTCCTTGCAGGAACGCAGCAATGATCCAGCACAGGCTCGTCCAAACCCTCCAACTTTTGCTCAAGGTGTCATCAGTGAGTAGCTGGCAGTCTAGGCTGAGTTCAGCCGGGTAGTGCTTTTCTTTAAAGTCTCTTCTTGCTCATGTTGCATACAATACAGTCATGTGCTGAGATAACTTTGGGTTGCTTAATCTGGAATAATTATTGCTTTCTGGTTCCAAGTGCAATTTCTGTGCTGCATAAATATTTTTGTTCATGAGTGTGGAAGGTTGACGCAAAAGGCTAGTAACATAATTCTTATTTGTATTGGTTTGTTGTGTTAAAACCAGTTCTTTCAGCTGTACATGGAAAGTCAAGGAAGGTGTGGGTAGATGCCATTCTCAGAAATAAATAAGAAGGACATTTTCAAGGTCCCCACGTCAGTTCTCAGCAGAGCCTAAGCTAACGTTTGGGAAATTTATGAGTTCTGAAATAATGGACCAAATTGGACATATACTATATGCTAAAGAGAAAATAAGGAACTGTTTGGAAGCATACTTCCTAATCTTCATTTTTATGTACAGTGGGGGGGGGGAATCATTTGATCCCCTGCTGATTTTGTACGTTTGCCCACTGACAAAGAAATGATCAGTCTATAATTTTAATGGTAGGTTTATTTTAGCAGTGACAGACAGAATAACAACAACCAAAAAAAAACAAAACCAGAAAAATGCATTTCAAAAAAGTTATAAATTGATTTGCATTTTAATGAGTGAAATAAGTATTTGACCCCTTCGCAAAACATGACTTAGTACTTGGTGGCAAAACCCTTGCTGGCAATCACAGAGGTCAGACGTTTCTTGTAGCTGGCCACCAGGTTTGCACACATCTCAGGAGGGATTTTGTCCCACTCCGATCCTCTCCGAGTCATTAAGGTTTCGAGGCTGACGTTTGGCAGCTCGAACCTTCAGATCCCTCCACAGATTTTCTATGAGATTAAGGTCTGGAGACTGGCTAGGCCACTCCAGGACCTTAATGTGCTTCTTCTTGAGCCACTCTTTTGTTGCCTTGGCTGTGTGTTTGGGGTCATTGCCATGCTGGAATACCCATCCACGGCCCATTTTCAATGCCCTGGCTGAGGGAAAGAGGTTCTCACCCACGATTTGATGGTACAAGGCCCCGTCCATCATCTCTTTGATGCGGTGAAGTTGTCCTGTCCCCTTAGCAGAAAAACACCCCCAAAGCATAATGTTTCCACCTCCATGTTTGACGGTGGAGATGGTGTTCTTGGAATCATAAGGCAGCATTCCTCCTCCTCCAAACACAGCGAGTTGAATTGATGCCAAAGAACTCGATTTTGGTCTCATCTGACCACAACACTTTCACCCAGTTCTCCTCTGAATCATTCAGATGTTCATTGCCAAACTTCAGACGGGCCTGTATATGTGCTTTCTTGGGCAGGGGGACCTTGCAGGGGCTGCAGGATTTCAGTCCTTCATGGCGTAATGTGTTACCAATTGTTTTCTTGGTGACTATGGTCCCAGATGCCTTGAGATCATTGACAAGATCCTCCCGTGTAGTTCTGGGCTGATTCCTCACTGTTCTCATGATCATTGAAACTCCACGAGGTGAGATCTTTCATGGAGCCCCAGTCTGAGGGAGATTAACAGTTATTTTGTGTTTCTTCCATTTGCGAATAATCTCACCAACTGTTGTCACCTTCTCACCAAGCTGCTTGGCAATAGTCTTGTAGCCCATTCCAGCCTTGTGTAGGTCTACAATCTTGTCCCTAACATCCTTGGACAGCTCTTTGGTCTTGGCCATGGTGGAGAGTTTGGAATCTGATTGATTGATTGCTTCTGTGGACAGGTGTCTTTTATACAGGTAACAAGCTGAGATTAGGAACACTCCCTTTAAGAGAATGCTCCTAATCTCAGCTCGTTACCTGTATAAAAGACACCTGGGAGCCAGAAATCTTGCTGATTGATAGGGGATCAAATACTTCTTTCACTCATTAAAATGCAAATCAATTTATAATTTGTTTGAAATGCATTTTTTTGGATTTCTTTTTTTGTTGTTATTCTGTCTCTCACTATTAAAATAAACCTACCATTAAAATTATAGACTGATCATTTCTTTGTCAGTGGGCAAACGTACAAAATCAGCAGGGGATCAAATACTTTCCTCCCCTCACTGTATTGTGTCCCCAATTGTTATAAAAACAGACTGAATATTTTTAAAACTGGCTGAAGTTTGCTGAAAAATAATATGCAACCTTGAAAATGATGTTGTCATTCAGTCATATATTTTCTTTTTTAGTCTACATACAATTGATCGATCCAATGACTTTTAAAAGCACTTACTGAATGCTAGTTGGCCTGCTGAGAAAAGGAAGAGAAAGGCCTGTCATCTTTAGCTGTATTGAATAAGTAGTTTGTTTGCCAATATAAATAAGTATTTTTAAGGACAGTTAATATTTTGTGACATTTCTGGGGTGCCTTAGTTACCCACAGATATGCCCAAGCAGGAGAATGGCTTTCACCCGAAATAGACTGTCACATTCCAGTGCAGTAATGTGGTTTGCTGAATTCTGATTTAGTGTAATGTGTGAAATCTGCCATTGTAGTTTGATATCTAGGCTTTATCACAATGCAATATGTAAACCGGGTTATTGTCATTCAAGAGACCATGTTTTAACTAATAACATTAATATTAATAGCAATATTAATATGATGGAGGCAGCAGTAGCAGCACATAATACAGTACATTCATAGCTTTTGCATCCCTTCTTTCTGATCCCGAGATAATAGTCCCACTAATCTTTGCTCTGTGCTTTTTTCTTTATCCATGTCACTTACTGTTCCTTGCACACCTCAAAAAATCCCAAAAACCTGAAGCAGAGAAAAAACTGAAGATTTTAATATCAAACAAGCAAATAATACCTATCCTGTGCTGCTTCCTGCAGTGTTCCGTCTTGACTTGCTGCAGATGTTAGCGCTTTTTTTTTCCCACTGTGCAAGGCGTGATTCCCAGGCGTGGCTCTCCAGCTACCCAAATCCTCGTCTTCTGTTTCCACCTGCAGATGAGGCTGATCAGCGCCAGTATGAAGAGTGGCTTTTCCACACCCAGCAGCTTCTCCAGATGCAGCTAAAGGTGCTGGAGGAGCAAATCGGGGTGCACCGGAAGTCCCGCAAAGCCCTGTGTGCCAAGCAGCGGACAGCTAAAAAAGCCGGTCGTGAATTCCCTGAGGCTGACGCCGAAAAGCTGAAGCTGGTAACTGAGCAACAGAGCAAGATCCAAAAGCAGCTGGATCAGGTATGTGACAGTATCAGGGCTCTGTTATACACGCAGTTCCTAATTTGACCATGAAAGTGGCACATGTGTGTGTGTCTGCTCATGTGTGTAACCTTAGCAGGCTCTAGATTATGTATTCATTTTATGTTTTAGTTCACCCGATAACCAGAGCTCTCTGTGCATTTTAAACTGGCTAAAAGTTCATAAAAGATAATCACCGCCTATGGCAGGGGTAGTCAACCTTGGCTCTTTTATGACTCGTGGACTTCAACTCCCAGAATTCCTGAGCCAGCATGGCTCAGCTTGGAAACTCTCCCTTTCCCCTCAGCGTGGCTGGCTCAGGAATTCTGGGAGTTGAAGTTCACGAGTCATAAAAGAGCCAAGGCTGACTACCCCTGGCCTATGGGAAACAGAATCAAAATAACCTAAGGATGGGCGAGATGGGTGGCACAGAAATTTAATAAATAAGAATAATAATAACTAATAAGCTATAAGAACAAGAGACCTGTTGTTTTCTCCGGGGTGAGGGGCACTGACAGAGGAAGAGTGCAAGTTTGACAAATTATGGTAAGGATCAGTCAATCAGAATAGAGCTGGAAGGGACCTTGGAGGTCATCTAGTCCAAGAGCCTGCTGAGGCAGGAGACCCTATATCAGAGGTCCCCAACCTTTTGGGCACCAGGGACCAGTTCTGTGGAGAGAGGTTTTTCCACAGACTGGAGGGTGTGTGGTTTTGTGTGCTGCCTGCATCTCGCGGATGGGGCTTTGCTTGTTTGTGCGGACCGGTTGCTGGCATGCCGCGGCCCGGTACTGGTCCACGGCCCGGAGGTTGGGGACCCCTGCCCTAATATCGTTCCAGACAAGTGGCTGTGTTTTCTTAAAAACCTCCAGCACCCACAGCTTCTGAAGGCAAGCTGTTCCACTGGTTAATTGTCCTCACTGTTAGGAAGTTTCTCCTTAATTCCAGGTTCCAGATTGAGATGTCCAGTGAGAACAAGGAGGAGGAAATTGCCTAGTGAATGGGGGCAACTGCTAGATGGAAGAGTGGGAGGAGATGGTATATTTGCAGCGAGGAGGTTAGAGTTCAGAGTGATGCAAATCTCCCTCCTTGACACTTCAGAGCAAAGAGAGTTGCCCTCTCCTAATAAAGAGAAGGAAATAAGCAGTGGAATTCCTTCTGATGTACTCTTTCCCACTCAACAGGTTCGGAAACAACAGAAGGAACATACCAACCTCATGGCTGAGTACCGCAACAAGCAGCAGCAGCACCAGCAACAAACCTCCACAGTCATGGCCCTCAGCCCCTCCCAAAGCCCTCGTGTCGTGAACAAGCTTCCCGGCCAGTTGCTTTCTGCTCACGGCCTCCAGCAGGGGACACAAGGCCTGCCTGGTCAGGCAGGGGGCCTGCACCTCCCTCAGGCTGCGCCTGTGGCCGTGCAACAGGGCTTACCATTCATGAGCCAGCAACAGTCACCATTGCCACCACCATCCGGGGCCACCCCTGCCAGCAATTTCTTTCCTGGCAACCGCCTATTACAGGAGAGACAGCTGCAGCAGCATAGACTGCAGCTGGCTCAGAAGCTGCAGCAGCAGAACTTCATGGGACAAATGACAATGCAACAGCAGCAGCAGCAGCAAGGCATGATGGGACAGCTATCTGTGCAACAGCAGCAGCAGCAGCAGCTTCAGCTTCAGCAGCAAAACCTGATGGGACAGGTATCTATGCAGCAGCAGCAGCAGCAGCAGCAACAACAACAAAGCACAATCGGCCAGTCTGGTTTGATGGGTCAGCCGCCGCCACCGCCACCACCCACCCCACAGCCAAATCAGAACCTGCTCCCTAAGCAACAAGGGCTGCTGAACAGCCAGCCGGGAACTGTGGTCCAGCAACTCTCTCCGCAGCAACAGCAGCAACAGCAGCAGCAGCAGCAGCAACAAGTCATACTAGGGCACTCCATGCTGCAGCAGCATCAGGGTATGTTAGGCCACCAGGCTGCCCAGAGACCAATGCTGTTGACTCCTCAGCAACATCGCACTCTGGGTTGTCCTCAGCAGCTGGCCCAGCAGACTCAAGGGATGATGGGGCACCGGCTTCTTTTGTCTCCTCAGCAGCAGCAGCAGCAGCAGCAGCCGCTGCCCCCACCACCACCACTACCACCACATCAGGCAGGGCTCCTTGGCCAGCAGAGGTTGCTAGGACAGCAGCAACAGCAGCAGAATTCCCTAGCCCAGCACCAGGCCCTCCTGAGCCAGGGGCAAGGCACGCAGCCAGGAATGTTGGCTCAGGGCCCTCAACCAAGTTCCCTCAGCCAAGGGCAGGGCATAGCCCCCGAGCCCATCCAGCACTTTGCGCAGCAGGGGTCTCTGAACCAGCCGCTGCACTCAAGTCAGGGAATGCAGTCAGCCCTGCCAGCGCAGCAGCAACAGCAGCAGGGCTTGGCTGTGAAGGAACAACAGGGAGGACCAGAAGGCTCCAGTGTCCTTTCCCAGGAGGGAGCAGTTGGTGTCCTGCAGCAGCAACAGCTTCGGCCCCATTTAGGAGGTCAGGAGCTGGGAGGGCAGATGAATCACCCTGACCAGCAAGGGATGCCCAGCCACGGAGCCCCTCCACAAGAGCAGTCCTCTCAGCTGATGCTCCAGCAGCATGGGGAACCACAGAAGCAGCCAGCTGATATGGGCCAAGCACAGCAGCTTCTCATGGACTCTCAGCAGAAGAGCCTGTTGGGCCCTCTGCAGATGCAGATGCAGCAACAGCAGCAAAACAGTAACTTGCAGCAGCAAAGCAGCCACCTGCAGCGGACTCACCCAGGAATGGATGGTATCTTGCAGCAAGAGGCGTCTCCTCAGCAACCGCCACACCACCACCATCAGCACCGGGAGGCCACTCAGCCTCCCCACTTGCTCAATCAGCAAATGGAGCAGCAAAGCCAAGGGCAGAACACCATGGCTCCACAGCAAAGGATTGTGGTCCAAAACCTGGAACAACCTCCCAAAGGCTTACCGGGCCAACTTGCGCAACAGCAGCAGCGACTTCAAAGCCCAGCTGGAACTTCCAAAACTCCTGGGTTGACAATGTCATTGCAGCAGCAGCAGCAGCAGCAACAACAGCAGCAGCAGCAGCAGCAGCAGCAGCAGCAGCAGCAGCAGCAGCAGCAGCAGCAAAGTATGATGGTTCCACAGTCATCACCCCAAGGCCAGAACTTCCTGGCCAGCCCTGTAATGGGTCAGATCCGGGCTCAGCTTCAGGGAGTCATCTCTAAAAATCCACAGCTCCGGAACCTCACCCCTCAACAACAGCAGCAGTTACAGGCTCTGCTAATACAGCGGCATCAGCAGAGTTTGCTGCAGCAGAACCAAGCCTTGCGGCAAGGCAGCCCTTATCCAGGGCAGGCCCAGGTGTCACTGGACCAGGGCCGGCCAGGTGCTCCTCAGCTTCCCCTCCCCAGCTCCATGGGACAGCAGATCCCAAGGCAGCCCCCTCTTGCCGTATTCCAGTTTCGTCCAGAGCAGGGATTTTCTGCCTCTACCGAGCAGCCGAAAGTCCCGGTGAACCAGCAGGTGGCCACCAGCCCTCACCAACAGGGCGCACCGAGGCCTCCTATTTCTCAGACTCCCTCTGTTCCCTTGAGCGTCGCTGGTGTGGCCTCTCTCCCACCACAGCAGCCCAGCCCTTCAGAGCCAAAGAGACCATCCCCTTTGCTCCTGGTGAAAAGCCCTGAACAGCATCCAGCTCCCAGCCAGAAACACCAGCCAACCACTCCCAGTCCCCTGCTCTCTCCTAACCCGGCGCTTTTTGTTCCAAACACAAAGGAAGCGGCTCTTGGCCCCGGGAGCTTCAGAGACTCGGTGTCCCTCACCAAAGCGCCCACGGAGCCATCGGCCGTCAATGGGCAGACGGGGGAATTGGCTTCCTTAGCTGCGGGAAAAGCTTTCGCCCAATCGGGAAACCTTCCCCTTGTTTGTATCAAACAGGAACCCAGGGAAGAGGTGACCCAGTGTGCACTGATGAGTGGCCCCCAGCCAGTCAAGCGGGAAGCAAATGGGGAGCCCGTCTCCCATGCAGCTGCTGTGGCGGCCGCCGCCGCCGCTGTGCCCACTAATAATAACAGCCTCAGCCGCACTGAAGCTGGCCACCTCTTGCTACAGAAGTTGCTACGAGCCAAGAACGTCACGCTGGGGACTCCGCGCTCGGGCGACGTCAACGGGCACGTGGATGGCAAATTTGTTGGCGCGGAGGGCCGATTGCAGATGCTGCCAGATGTTCGGGAGGTGAGCATAAAGGGGAAAGGGAAGAGTGGCTGCTGCAGTTAACAGAAACCCCAGCTTTTGACCCCCACCTCCTTTTGTGATGTCTGTGTGGATAATGAAATACCCCGATTGAAAACTATATCTGAAAAGCCAGTCCCACCTACCCAGTGGTAGAGAAGGTATTTTTTGCTTGATGGAATAGATTTCACTAGGAATCTATTGAAATTAGCAGACCTTTTTGGAGAAGAAATCCTTTATAAAAAAGAGAACTATGACGTAGTGCCATCCTCAGCTTTTGGTGGGCATTGCTTCTCTGCCACTGGCTAGTTTGGACCACCCTTTTGTTATGGTTAACAGTCACAGTCGGTGGAGGGATAATATCACTAAACGGGGCTGAGTCAGAATGTCCAGAGTTCCCCCCCCCCAAAAAAAAAATAACCCAGAAGGAAGTTTCTCATTTTATTTACCTATTTATTTATATCCTGACTTTATAATTTTTACAAATATCTCAAAGCGGCAAACAGATCCAAAGTATCTTCCTCCTCCTGTTTTCCCTTTGAGGGGAATTGGGCTGAAAGAGAGAGAGGGGCTGGTCCAATTTGGCGGTCTTAATTTCTGCAAATTCTAGATACTCTCATGAGGCCGCAGGTGGCCTCCTTCGGCCTTTTTGACTGGCTTCAAATGTTTGCGGTGCTTTTCCAAAAGGCAACTGGACTCTCTTGGGGTTTTTTTGCTTGAAAATGTTTCAGTTCTCAAGCTCCTTGGATGAGAAGCAAAACGTTTTCAAAGAAAAAAACCCCAAGAAAGTCCAGTTGCCTTTTGGAAAAGCACCTTTGGAACGACATTCTGGCTTTTAAAATAACTTATTTCTGTCCCTTATAATGCTAATTGATTTCTGCCCTTCTCCTGCTACAACCATTGAGACGAGGAGTCTAAAATTAGGGACATGCTTCCGTTTCCCATTATTTTAAAAAAGTATCTTCCTTGACTGTGGTTGAATGTGTAAGATTCCCTAGTTAGTAAATCAGCAAACTGAGATGAGAGGTTTGGCATAGCCATCTGCAGGGTTTTGCCACTGGGCACATAAGGAAGCAACGTTTAAAACACCTTCTCTTCATCTGCAGTGTAAAATGGGGCTGCCTATAATTCTGTCCCTCCTGCTTGGGTTTTTTTGGTACTTTTGCTTGTGACTCACTTAGCCCATCTGGGGCAGGGGATGGTTGAGTGGGTGAGCTTTGATAGCTCCATAAAATGACTCCCTTTTGGGAACTGGAGCACATTTGCTGAGGAGAGAAAGGGACTACTGCCTGCCTCTCTCCTCACCAGGATGCCCTTGCAGCAAAGAAACTTCCCCCACCGAAGCCAAAACGATCCCAGAAAGCTGGGGAGCGACTTGTCAATTCCCGCAAGAAATTGCGCAAGGAAGATGGTGTGAAGTCCAACGAAGCCCTCATGAAACAACTGAAACAGGTACAGCTATTTTGGATTTTGCTCGGCTGACAGGCTGAGTCAAAATCAAGGGTGTTAGTGTGTTCCGTGAAAAAGACCACAACAGTCTTAACCAGATACGCAGGGCTTTTATTTTTCTGACCATGGTCACGTGGGGTTTTTTTCTGCAAGAATTTTGTGTCGTTAATATTTGAATACATTGAATATACAATATTGAACGTTGGATATCCCACTCTTATTAATCCTGGGAATAAATTAATTTAGGAATGGTATTTTCCCCCCGCTTCTTTCTATTCCACTGCACGGAGTAGAGCTATCCTCTTAAACTCATGCGCACCTCCATTTTTTTCCTCATGTTTTAAATCCATTTTATGAATCTAGTGAAACATGTCAATTATTTTCTGTCTTTTCATTTAGGGTTGATTTTTGGTTAGTCAGGAAACAAAAATAAGTGGACCAATACAGTTGAAGTCATTTTACAAATCGTGTTTGTTTCTCATTGAAAACTCATAAATTACATCTCCAAATGTCTGAAGCTATTTTCCCTCATTAATTTACCTTTAATAAACAAGAAAACAAAGTGGCCTAATACATTTTGTGCTAGAGTAGAATGCCTGCAGCTTATTTCAGCACAATGAGGGCTGTACCCACTTTCCTCTCATGGTTTTAAGCCCTGAAAATTTAAATCTGATTTTAGGAATGATCTCCTACTTTTTGAAATTCAACTCCTGAATGTGAGATGTTGATGCTGATACATTTACCATTTCATTCAAAGACATTTAATTGAAATAATACATTTAGCAATTCTCATCTGTTACCACAGAGGCAGTTTTAATCCATATCTCTACTTTAGTATAATATAAGTATATACTTTAGTCATCGTGAAAGATGGAGGACTAATTCAGAAGAGGAAAACAATTTTTTTTTTAAAGACTTGTGAGGTATTTACTACACCAAACTAATAAAGAGTCTATGTTTCCTTTCAGCTAGCAAAACTGCTTGTATTCAGATTATTTTTTTCCTTACCATAACTGATTGCTGCAAAGAAATAATTGCAGTATCTCTCCAACCCAAGTGACTTCCTTATACAGGTAGACCTTGCTTAACCACTGCCCTTTCAGTGACCGTTCAAAGTTATGACAATGCTGCAAAAGTAACTTCACAATCAGCCCTTCCATTTATGAGCATTGCAAGATTCCTTCAGTTGCATGATTGCTGTTTGCTTGCTTCACAACTAGCTTCCAACAGGCAAAGTCAATGTAGAAACCGGCAGTAAAATTATACGTCATAGTCAGGTGATGTCTTGCTTACTAACTGGTGCTGACTTAATAACCTAATGAGAAATGACTTAAGTCCACCACAGTCACCTAATACTTGCTTAGCGACTGCATCACTTAGTGACAGAGTTGTGGGCCCCAATTGTGATTTGCTAAGCAAGGACTACCTTAGATGGGAACTTTTCTTAAAGAATACTTAGTGTTCAGATGCATTCTGAATAAATTATGGTGATTTAATTTTTTTAAATTACATGCTTCAACAATATTGTAATTATATTACAATGTATACAATGAATTTACAAATATTAATTTTAAATACTCATTAAAATCATCATGGTATTATTGAATGGATAGCATATATAAGACATATGAAAAAGAAAAGGGCATTTATAAGATGAGGAATGAAACAGGAAATTGAAGCTTATGTTATTTCCATTTGTTATTCATTCCTCCCCAGATTTTTTTTGAGGAATTATAAAGTACTAAGCATAAATTGCTTTTTGTTAGAGCAGGCTATGCACAAATATGCACAAGCAAAGAAATTGAAAATCAATAGTTTCAGGGGCAGATTATTTTCTTATAGAATGAGATGAGGCAGAAGTAGATAAATTGCTTCTTAAATGTGAAAACTTTTGCCACACAAAGTATTTGAATGTTCCAGTTTGTTTTAATAAACCTATATTATTGTAAATTCTAAAATAAAAAAAAATCCATAAATGTTGGGCTAATTGCAGAATCAAATTGGTATATGGATTCTTTCCAATTAATGAATTCCAAAAGTAGCAGTTTTCCTGTTCAGCCAGAATTTTATTTGTCATATACAAGAAGTTGATAATTCTGCGCATCAAATTTATAGCTCTTTTGACTGAAAATAAATCAATACACATTTTTCATTCCTTCCAGATTTTCTTTTCGTACAGATTTCTAAGTGCAGCCCATAATTTTATATTCTTTTTTGAAAGCTGGAAAGAAATAGTGTTATGTCTCAACCTAATTTGTACAAGAATGTTCTGCAATGGGGCGCTCTCCTTTTCTGTCTGTTTTGTGCAGATACATACTAGGAAGTTGTTTTGTTCCTGGATACCTTATTGATGCTCATTCATAACCTTGAATCTTCCATATCTCAGTAAAATAGATTTTGTGTCCTTTTCTGAGTGTAATATTAGGAGTTCAGAAGCAGCACAAACAAGTCCTAATTCAGCTGCATCAACACACACTGCCTTAGAAAAGACCTGAGCTGGTTGGGTTAGTCCAGGGGTCTTCAAATTTGGCCCTTTTATGACTTGTGGACTTCAACTGCCAGAATTCCTCAGCCAAGCACGCTGGCTGAGGAATTCTGGGAGTTGAAGTCCACAAGTCATAAAAGGACCAAGTTTGAAGACTCCTGGGTTAATCTAATGTAGCTTTTTGTTGCCTTCAGCAAAATCTCACCAGATGTGGATATTATAGAGACAGAGAAATATCTTTTCAAAAATCATGCAGGAACTATGTAACCTCAAGTTTTTCCTGTTAAAGTCATGGGAGAATAGGCCAAGATAGGAGTCCATTCAACCTTCAGGGCCTGTGAAATCATATTGTTCTTTTTCATTCATATCAGAGAATTCCTTTAATAAGGTCTGCAGGATGTGTCGGCATATGAAGAAGCCTTGGTTTGATTCAGTTCTTTTCTCCCCAGGAACTCTCTTTGCTGCCTCTGATGGAACCAGTAATCACCGCCAATTTCAACCTCTTCCCTCCCTTTGGAAGCAGTCCAATCAATGGCAAGAGCCAGTTGAAAGGCACGTTTGGCAATGCAGCCTTGGACAGCATTCCAGATTACTACTCCCAGCTGCTCACCAAAGTAAGGCCAGCTGTGTGGCATCTTCTTCTTTTTAGCTAACTGAATATAGAAAAAGAAAGAAAAAAGAAAGAAAACATATAATTATAATAAAAAGAGAGAATTAGCTGAGAAAAAGGGAAAATTGGTACAAAATGTTCCACAGATGCTATACAACTCAACCAACAATTGCTAAGATGGATAAATCCTGTAACAAGAACTGTTGGAAATGCTACCGCAAAGAAGGAAAGATTTTTAGGATCTAGTACAACTTGCCGCAGCCAGCTCGCCACTGTCAACTTGCTTCTGCCAACTTGCCACTGCTAAGTCACCACATGACACCTGCACATGGCCAATTGACTAGGGGGACAACTCGCTGCGGGTGACCCGAGGGAGAGTGAGGCAAGTGAGCCAGCAGGTGGGCAGAGCGTAGAGAGTGCGATGAAAGGATGGACCGCGTGGGAGAGCCGGGTGAGCAAGTGAACGGATGGGCAGATCACACCACCTTTGTGGAAGATGCCAGGGGGAGGCAGCAGTCGGGGTGGGGAGGCGGGGGCATTGCTCAGAACATGTCTTCTCAGCAGTTCAATTTCTTGCCATTATAGAAGTCAGAAACAAAGCATCCGGTGGCATCTTACAGGCTAATTTATTGTGGCACAATGTTTGAGGGTTCCTCTTTCCCAGAATGGTTGTTTCACAATCGACCCTCATCCCCAGTGGCCCCTGTGCCCCCGGCTGCCACCACCTCCCTGCCACCTGCTCCGACCATGCTCTGCCCACCCACCCATTCGCCTGCTTCTCCCTCTGGCCGCCGACCCAATCCATCATCTCGCCACATCCTGTGCGCACTGCCCACCTGCTTGCTTGCCTGCCTCACCCTGCGCGCTCCACTCACCTGCTTGCTTGCCCTCCATGTGCTCTGCTCAGCCACCCTCAGTGAATTATCCCCACAGCGAGTTAGCTGTACAAAGGTGTCCTGCGGCGAGTTGACTGTGGCAAGCTGTGGTGAGCTGGTGCATTTGGACGTTTTTACATCTATATACGGTGGTACTGGAAAGAAGCACACCAAAACAATCTGAAAATAAAATTTAAATTAAAACTACAAATATTTTTTTAGGTTTGATCTCAGAGAATATGAATGAAATGTATCATAATTTATTAAAAATACCTGCTGACAGCAGCAGCAAGAATCAATCTGGTGCAACATTGGAAAAGAAACCTTGCCGTCAACATAGGATTGGGAGACTAAAATTGAAGAATATGTAGCAGTGGAGAAAAAGAAATGACAGAAATAAACTAAATTTAAGCAGAAATGGATCTCATATATAGCATGTCACACAGCGTGGCAAGCTTCTTAGTATATGATTTTTAAAGAAAAGGAACTGTTTAAATAATAATAGTAGCAACAAAATGATCTAAACAGAAATCAGTAATAATGTCCAGAGTAAAATATACAGATATTTAAGTAGCAATTAGTAGCATTTGCCATGTGCTGGAGCTGATGGCTCAGTAATTTTTTAAACAAATTAATTAAGTTTATCTATAGACAGTTAACGAAACAATCTTTAATCTTAAAATGGTTTTTTTTTTAAAAAATAAAAGCGCAAACTAAAATTACAAACTAGTTCTGCCTAATAATTATGAACTTTCGGTAGGTGTTTGATCTGTTCTATAATCCAAGATTCTTCCTGTTTGTCAATAAAGGAAAATTGGTAGCCCTTCAGATGTGTCACACTGAAGTCACTTTGTCATTGGCTATAGTTTATTTTTTCCCCTTAATGTTTTATTGATTTTTAAAAATTACAATCTTTAATAGTGCTTACTAAACAACATGTTGTCTGAGTTCACATATTTAACATTAACTTCTTCAATATAAACCTGTTCAGTACTGTACAATCTAGTATTTTTTCCCTGATCCTCCTTTCTTCCCCATATTTTTTCCATTTCCCCCTCATTACACAGTTCCAATTCTTGTTACTATTGATGCATACAAAGTTAGATATAAACATCTTTGTCATATTTTACTAATATAACAATAATATCAATTCATAAATCAATATCCTGTTTTTCATGTTCTTATTAAGGTTTAATTTCCCATCAGTATTTGAAGTATCTTTGACAGTTACGATTTTCTCCATGTTAATTACATTTAGCTAACAATTTTTGTTCATGCCAGCGATCCTCTTATTTTCATATTTCCCATATCAAAAAAAAGAAAAGAAAAAAATGCTATTTTAATTTTAACTCATAACTTTCGTTCTAAAAGTCTAACTATATCTAAGGGTCATCCGTTCTTTTAATCATATTCGAACAAATATTTAAACATGTAATGCCCCCTCTAATAGGTCAAATCTTCTGTTTTTTTAAATCTAACTCTCGCTTTCTTTCTTTGCCAAGTAGCTTTCCAAGACAAGGCAATTAAATCGCCCAGGAATTTTCTATTTTTGTAAAAGTTGCTTGGCATGAGGAAGACAATTTAGGTAGGGTATTTTTGGTAGGGAATTCTACCCATTTATATTCATTAAGCAATTCCCACTTTCCTTCTCCCTCAATTTCTCTCTTCATTTTTTGTCTTCCAAGTTGTAATATTTCCCCTGACAGCTCTATATTCAATTTTTAAAGTCTTCTTCCTTATTATCAGGTATATTTTTCAGACCTAAGGGTTAAAGCATCTTTTCCATTTTCATTGTTATGGCTAAGTCTTGCAGTATTTTATATGTATATGGTAGTTTATATTTCCCTTCTTTTATCTCTTCCGTCTCTAGGTCCATTTCCTGTGCTCCGTCTTCTGATTTCTGGTTTATTTGTTCATACTTTGTAGTCATTGTCTGGGAATTTTCTAGGTGCAGTTTTCGTTTGGAGATTTGCTCATTTATATTATCTAAATTGTATTTAGTCTCATTATGGTTTCTTTTTGTGTCCTCTTTGTGTGCGACAATTGTTTGGTGAATTAGTTGTAGCATAGAGTATATTTCCTTCTGAAAGGTGTTTGTTTTTTCCTGAGGCATCATTCCTGGAGATCCTCTGGGATCACCAATCTTAATAAGAGTAGAACCAGTCCTAAAAGCAATATTTTATAGTAATCTTTTGTCTCAAGTGTCCAAGAATTGTCGGTCAGGCAAGGTTGTAACTCACAATGTTCAAAGTGTTCAAAATGTTCAACCACCCTGAAAACAGCTCAGAAGTCTCTCCCAGTCAGATGTAGTCAAAAGTCAAATTTTTCTTTCTCTCTCAGTAGTTCTTAAGATTAAAAGTTCAAGATCAGTAAGTGTTTATAGTCCAAGATGGTCAGGGTGATAAGTATGCCAAAATATTTTCCTATATTGCCAGCTGTTCTCCATTGAGCTAGGAGTCCCCAAGCAGCCAGGAAGTTAGTTGTAGTGCTATACTCAAATCCACCACTAGATGTCATTCAAAGTCCATTTTCCACTCTTAAGACAAAGGATTAATTTCTTACACATTTCACCTTAATGTTTTTTTTTCTTCAAAGAGAAAACCTTATTACTTCCACTTCAATATTATGTATTTCTGTCCCCCATAAAAAAAAATTAAAACGCCGCTTCCGTTCACGTTCGGAGGTTTTAGCTTCTTGGGAGCCCTTCCCAGGAAATTCAGTTGTAAAATAGTAAAGAAAGGATCAATGTTCTCACCCAGTTCCAAACATGCTGTTTACAATCTGCTAATTGGTGCTTTTTCTTCTTCAATTGTCAGCAGCTAATGGCTGGCCATTGGAATGTAGCCAGCCTTTCCCCTGCCAGTTTGGAGGGCTTTCCTCGGATCGAACGGAAAGACCGCCATCTCTCCGTGATCGACGAGGCACCCCTCCTTCTTCATCGCCTCTTTGGGGCGACTTTAGGCTCTTTTAGGGCCCCCAGCAGGGTGAAATCGTGCACTGAAGGCAGAGCAAAACCGGAAGTTGGCTATAGTTTAGTTTTTTTCCTAAACTTCTAACGTGATCTTGGGAAGGTCGAAGAAAAGAAAGGAATACTGTATTACTTTTGTTGTGCTATGCTTAAGTAAATCAGTGCAGAGAAGGCCTGCATGTGTTTCCATTCAGGGGTAAAATGCAATACAATCCTGCTCAATAACAATTGAATAGAAAAAGTTTTTTTTTTCAAGGCAGGGCATAGAGTGGCAGACCAGGCCTCCAGAGAACGGTTGTCGGCAAAGATCACTCTTAACAGTTCAATCGTCTTTTAAAATGTGCTCATTTCTTTGCATTACTTATGTGCTTCTCCATCACAATTTTGGGGCAGCTCAAACAGTAAAAGAAAGAATGTAAATGCAGCAGGTGACGGAGTGGTCTGTCAGATCTGTGCAGCTTTGGAAATGAAGGGGGGAGGGGGGAAACAGGTGGTGGATTGTGGTGGGTGTTGATTCCTATGTTCTCTGTCTAGAACAACTTGAGCAACCCTCCAACACCACCTTCCTCACTGCCCCCCACACCCCCACCCTCTGTGCAGCAGAAGCTGGTGAATGGCGTCCTGTCTTCTGAGGAGCTGACCGGGCAGTCCAAAGAGCCAGAGCTACCCCATGAGCTTGAAGGACAGAAGGGTAAGAGCTATTGCTGAGCAGGGTGTTAATGTTATGGTCTAAAACAGGGGTAGGCAACCTTGGCTCTTTTATGGCTGGCTCAGGAATTCTGGGAGTTGAAGTCCACGAGTCATAAAAGAGCCAAGGTTGCCTACCCCTGATCTAAAATATTCAGGGAGGCACTTGAATGCTGTAGCATAGTGGATATTCAGCATGTGTTGTGTTCTGTATCTGGTGGGATAACACCAGGAGCTTCTGATTGTAGTGTTTTTAGTGGAGGAAAAGAGGGAATTAAAAAAATGGTTCAGTAGAAGGTGCTGTGATTCAAAAAGATTTATCTTATAGGGGACTGGAGGCTAAAACATATAAGGAACGGCTGCTGGAATTGGGTATGTCTAGTTTAACGAAGAGAAGGACGAGGGGGGACATGATAGCAGTGTTCCAATATCTCAGGGGCTGCCACAAAGAAGAGGGAGTCAAGCTATTCTCCAAGGTGCCTGAAGGCAGGACAAGAAGCAACAGGTGGAAACTAAGCAAGGAGAGAAGCAACCTAGAACTAAGGAGAAACTTCCTGACAGTTAGAATAATTAACCAGTGGAACAACCTGCCTCCAGAAGCGGTGAATGCTCCAACACTAGAATGACTCCATCGCTGACTATAGGGGGCGAAACTCTAGCTCCCTCGGAGAGGGTGCGCAATCTGGGTGTCCTCCTGGATCCACGGCTGACACTAGAAGACCAGTTGACGGCCGTGGCCAGGGGGGCGTTTTACCGGGTACGCCTGTTGCGGCCTTTTCTGGACCGGGATGCCTTGCGCACAGTCACCCATGCTCTTGTCACCTCCCGCCTGGACTACTGCAATGCTCTCTACATGGGGCTCCCCTTGAGGAGCACTCGGAGGCTCCAGTTAGTCCAGAATGCAGCCGCGCGGGCGGTGTTGGGAGTGACTCGTCGCTCCCATGTAACGCCGCTGCTGCGCGAGCTGCACTGGCTGCCGGTGGCTTTCCNCGTCAGCCAGACAGTGCCGGCTGGCGACCCCCAGGAGGAGGGCCTTCTCGGTTGGAGCTCCCACCCTATGGAACGAACTACCCCCAGAGATCCGGGTGATTCCGGATCTCCCCTCCTTCCGCCGCGCCCTCAAGACATGGCTATTTAAACTGGCAGGACTGGCCTAAGGGTTATTTTTAACTTGGTTTTATAATAATTTAAAAAAAAAAATAATTAAATTATAAAGGCCTTATAATAATATTTTATTTTAATTAACTTTTTAACGTTAGTATTTTTGTAGTTATGTACTTGTTTTTAAAAAGGCTGTAAGCCGCCCTGAGTCCGCAGGGAGAAGGGCGGGGTAGAAATTTAAATAATAAATAAAATAAATAAATAAAGTTTTTAAGAAGAGACTGGACAGCCACTTGTCCGAAATGGTATAGGGTTTCCTGCCTGAGCAGGGGGTTGGATTAGATGACCTCCAAGGTCCCTTCCAACTTTACTTACTATTACTATCTTAGCAGTGAAATGCATTATAAGCAATACAGGTAAATCCTCAACTTACTACCACAATCGAGTCCCAAATTTTCATTGCTGAGCAAGTCATTTCTTAAGTGAGTCTTGCCCCATTTTACGAGTTTTCTTGCCACAATTGTTAAGTGAATCATTGCAGCTGATTAGTTAGTAACACAGTTGTGAAGTGAATCTGGTTTACTCCATTGATTTTAGCCATCAGAAGGTTGCAAAAAGCGATCACACGATCCTGGGACACTGCAACTGTCATAAATACATGCCAGTTGCCAAGCATTTGAATTTTGATCACCTGACCATGGGGATGCTGCAACGGTCGTAAATATGAGAACTGATCATAAGTCACTTTTTTCAATGCCCTTGTAACTTCAAATGGTCACTGAACGAATGTCAAGGACTACCCGTAGAGCAAACATTTAAGGCAAAGTTGCAGATACGGAGAAGGCAAAGGGGAAGAGCTTTGAGGAGGTCTCTGGAAATGATTTTGTATGGGTTGAGCCCTGAGAAAAGTTGCAAATAAAGAGTATTTATAAATTGCTATTTATGAATTTTTTTATACACAGTTTATTCCCATCTTCTGAGGATCCTTCACTTATTCTTTATTTATATTTTATAAGAAATTTAAAAAGGGAATTTAAAAAAATGATAAAGGGGGGCCAAGAGGAAAATAGAAAATAATTGCAAATTTCTGAAACATAAATGGTGGTTTATCGCTTCTTGGTTATAGAGTGGCATTTTGCCAGGTACTACTGTATCACTGAAAAGGCCTATTCCTTGCTTGCCATTGACCTCTTCTTTGCCAAGAATTGGGGGACTATATAGAAAAAAAGCCTCCCGGTGTATATTAGCGCGGAATCAGTCTGTGGATTCTCATGCTGTAGACATGGTTACTGGCAATCCTGCAGCATCTGATATTTGATCTTTCTTATTCCATGTGTGAAGATGCTCCCCCTGTGGAAGTGAAAAGCTTAGATCTACTTGCAGCTCTGCCTACCCCACCACACAATCAGACTGAGGACGTCAGGTGAGAATAGAAGTCTGATTGAACAGAAACACAAAAGACAAGTGTTTTAGTTGTGTGCCATCCAAAATGTTCCCCAACCCGGTTTCCTTCAGATGTGTGGATCGTTAATTCACACCATCCCCAACTAATGTAACAAAGTCCATACATCGGGGGGGGGGGGTATGAAATCAGGAGATATTGCTGAGTTTATAGGAAGCAAATGAGACCTGGTACGTAATCTTTTGAACTTGGAAAATATAAAGCTTCTTTTGGGGAGCGTTAGCCTTTTTTGTCTGGGCGTAGTTGGGCGTCCCTTGCTGATTTACTGCATTTCATCCAATTCCCTATCAGTAGGTCCAGTTCTACATCCTGCCAACCTTTAACTCTGGAACTGGCAAGATAAGTTGGTATTCACCAGCACTCCCATAATGCCCTAAATCACTTTCACAAAAATCAGGCAGGAGCAGAAGCGTCCTAAATTGTATAACCGTTCTCCATTATCTCTGCAGGATGGAGAGTGATGAGGAAAGTGACTGCCCTGACTCCATTGTCCCAGCATCGTCTCCAGAGAGTGTCTTGGGAGAAGAGATACCACGCTTCCCGTTGCTGGTTGGAGCCAAGTCTGAAGTGGAGGAGTGCCCTATGTCCCCTGTCATCCCCATAATTCCAAAGGCCAGCATCCCAGGTTCGTGAAAAGTAATGACTTGTATGGAAGGTAATCCATGAGCTAGAACAGTGGTTTTCAACCTGCGGTCTGTGAACTCCTGGGGGGCTGCAAAGTTGCAGGAGGTCTGGGAGGACATGAAGAAATGCTATGATTTAAATCTTAAGTTAAATTTTGGGGGTCCACGGCCACAAGAAAAGGCTGAGAACCACTGAGCTAGAATCATCTTTAATCCTTGTTGCATCTGCATTTCCCAGACGAGAAGTACACTGTAATCCAAACTGTTTTAATCTAAAAAGATTCTAAATATTATATACCTGATAACAATATACCAATGTCGGTAATGACCACAATAAACTGTTGCATTATAGACATTATAAATGTAACAATAAGAATTCCAGTTTGGCATTAGACATAAACTCTAAAGACATCTCAAGATAGCTGTCTTCAGTAGGTTACGAAAGTAGGAGCCACCTGGGGGTGGGAGACGATAAGGTATTCTAGAACAGGGGTCCCCAACCCCCCAGGACACAGACTGGTACCGGTTTGTGGCCCGTTGGGAATCGGGCCACGTAAGTGGCAGGTGAGTGTGCAAAGCTTCATTTGTGCATGAGCAGGAGCTATGTTGCATGCAGAAACCATCCCCTACCCATCGCTGCCACTGCCGCCGGTCCATGGAGCCAGAAAGGCTGGGGACCGCTGTTCTAGAGGAGAGGCACTTCTGTGATCCTTCCCACAATATCCCATTATACTGTAGATGGAGAACTTCAGCAGACATTCTGTAGTTGCTCAGATGGGTAGGCAGAACCTAGCTTGAAAAAAATAGTACATTAGACTGCCGGGCCCTTGAGAGGGTAAGGAATAATCAACGTTTTGAATTGCACTCAGAAACATACCAGCAATCAGTGCAGCTCCTGTAGCAGTAAGTAGTGTTAAATGATAGTAATGTGACAACTCTGTAGGCATCCAGAACATTGCATCATACATACTAGTTGAAGTTTCTGGGTTGTCTTTACACTGCCCTGTGTAAAGTGAAATACATGAAATGAATGAGGTCAGTTAATGAGGTCTCCTGGACCTAGATGGTGAGTTCCCCTAGCTTATCGCTATCATTATCCTCCACTTCACCTCTGGCCTTCTGCTCTGCTTAATTTTTAATCTCCCAGACTGACACTGTGGGAGCCGCCACACACCTTCAGGAAAACACTGGCATTTGTATTGGTTGATCTATGACTTATTCAGGTACACGATTTTGGGTTGAGTGCTGAATTACCCTACTTTAGATAAGTGATTTGAATTTCTGGAATAGGAGTTTGAGCAGCAGCTTCTGACAGAATTTTTTTTCCTCCCTTTGCTTTCCTTCCTTCAGCTTTCCCAGATTCCAAACCCTACGGGACTGTAGAGCCAGTGGGAAAGGAGACGCCCGGCACTTCCTGGGACAGAGCCAAAGGGAGTGAGGTCTCTGTCATGCTCACCGTGTCTGCAGCTGCTGCCAAGGTATGGAGCGAGGACCAAAAGTTCTCTTGAGCCTTAGGAATTATAGACCAAGACCAGGGGTGGGCAACCTTGGCTCTTTTATGACTCGTGGACTTCAACTCCCAGAATTCCTGAGCCAGCATGGCTCAGCTTGGAAACCTCTCCCTTTCCCCTCAGCATGGCTGGCTCAGGAATTCTGGGAGTTGAAGTCCACGAGTCATAAAAGAGCCAAGGTTGCCTACCCCTGACCAAGATATTTGAAGGCTGTGAGTTGGCAATACAGTTGCTGTGTAGATATTTTAGGCATGATAAAGTCCTCGTGAAGTGACTTATCTGCCTTGTTTGTCTCAGGGCCCTCTCAGCTGGGGAAGCACTATCAATTTTCCACATCTGGTAGAAATGTGAGAAGTCTCTAGTTTTGTGCCATAGCCCTTTTTGCTGAATGCTGCCCATCCCCCTATTCTGACAGCTTATTCTGAGTCTGAACATCTTTTATTGTTGCTACTTTTCTGGTCTCATTACTAAACAGCTGTCAAGTACTTGGCAGATGTTCAGATTGATGGGTCCCCACATCAACAAGGTAGTAACATTCTTCTGTCACATGACCCGCACAATGGATACTTTAAACCAGCGGTTCTCAACCTATGGGTCGCGACCCCATTTGGGGTCGATCGACCATTTCACGGGGGTCGCCAAGCAAGGCTGTCCGCCATTTTTTCCCCCTTTTCCAGCGGGTGCCTTACCTCCCTTGAGCTGGGCCAGCTGGTGGTCGGCCTGCTCCATCTCTGCCGCTTGCCAGCTACGCCTCGGCCGGCGCAGGGGGCGGAACCACGCATGCGCGGTGCTCCCGGGCAGGGAAAGTCCTCGACTTACGACCGGTTGGGTAGTCCTCGACATACGACCGGTTTAGTCCTCGACTTACGACCGGTTTAGTCCTCGACTTACGACCGGTTGGGGTCGCGGCATTAAAAAGGTTGAGAACCACTGCTTTAAACCAATTTTTTTTGGGTGATTAAGCTACACTAAAGGGTTTGGGGGTTCCATTTCTTAATCTGCTCAAATACTTTCCTGACCATTCCCCCCGTCTTCTCCAGAACCTGAACGGTGTCATGGTGGCAGTGGCAGAGCTTTTGAGCATGAAGATTCCCAGTTCTTACGAAGTGTTGTTTCCGGAGCGAAATGTAACCAGTGAACCCAGGAAAAGTGAAACTGATGCACAAAGTGAGTATCCTAGTCAAGATAGCCTCTTGGTAGTATATCTTTTTTATTTTTCCAGTCTTGCCTTTTATTGGTCCCTGTTTCTCTGTCCCAACTTTCTTAGGCAAAGAGAAGCCAGTAGTTTCAAAGGGTCCTGAAGGTGGACCAGAGTGGCTGAAACAGTTTGATGCCATGTTGCCTGGCTACAGTCTCAAGAACGAACTGGACATCTTAACTTTGCTCAAACAGGTAAAGGAGGAGCTGGGAGCTTCCCCCCCCCCCCCAAAAAAAAATCTCCTTTGTTACTGAACAGTTTTTAACTAGTTGCGGTAAGCTTATCTGAAAGAAAATTGTCCAAGCTTTTAGCGTAACTCTTCCTTTTTCATGTAAGAATAGATAACAGATTATCACCACCACCTCATATTTTGATATGCATTTTGTTCAAATTAGAAAAAAAAAAGATCTTGAAAGAAGATAATGATACAATAGGGCCACATCCCCCCATTTCACTTTTTGCACAAGAAAAGACGTTGATTACCTCAAGTAGCGCTTGTCATCTTCCACAGACTTTGTTGCTTTCAGGGTGGAACTGCTTTGTTTCTTGTCTGAGGACCACCCATGCTCTCCTTTCATGACATTCAGTCAGCTCCCCTAGCCAGACCTCTCTCTTAACCAAACTCTGAAGAAAAAAGGAACTATCAAATTTCTGATAACCAACTGGCTTTGGTGTGATGGAATAGCGCTCATATTAAAACCATATGTTGTGCTGGTAGGATGTCTCCTATCAGACAAATTGGCTAGTGGCCTTAGTTGCCTCTGCTTCTTTTTCAAAGACATTTGTGGTTGAATCTCCAGCTAGAGTGGGAAAGGAAAAGTGGGAAAACTATCAAGCTTGGAGTCCTTGCAGGGAAGGAAGCCACAGAGGCCAGAAGCCACACACATACATCCCTCCAAATTCTGAAGCCTTTATTTGATGGTTCCCAAGAGACTGTAGTCCAGTGGTGGCGAACCTATGGCACGAGTGCCAGAAGCGTCACTCGGAGCCCTTTTTGAGGGCACGTGTGCCGTTGCCTCAGCCCCGCCTCCCCCCACGGCCCCCTCCTCACCAGCAGCCCCCCTGGAGGAGAGTCACCCCCAGGCTCGGCCTGCGCGGAGTAGCGCAGCCAAGAACATGGCAGCCGGGAGCAGGGACAAGACTTCATCCTCATGCCCTTCGTGTGCAGATGCTGCTGCGGGGTGCGGGCAGAGGGTGTGGCCGCATGGCGCTGCAGGGCCATCTGGGCGATCTGCTATGGCAGGCAGTGGAGGCGGTGGGTGGCCCTGTGGGCAGGCGGGGTGTGAGCGAAGTGGGGGGCAGCAGGGGGCGGGGCAGTTTTTGGGCACTCGGCCTCTAAAAGGTTCGCCATCACTGCTGTAGTCAATCTGATGGAATTCTTGTAAATAGTCAAGCAGCAATAAAGAAGCAACTCTGATCAGCTCATAGAGTTGTTCTGGTTCTTAGTACCTGACAAGTTTTCCCCCCCTCTTCTTTAGGAGACTTCAGTTCCAGAAAAAGCTGCTCAACATTGCTACATCAACAACGTTGCCAATCTGGATGTCCGGCAACTCTTGACACTTCCCGAAGAACCGTCTCCTCCTCTGTCCCCTTTTGCACCCTCTCCACCAAGCCCACCCAAGATTCCTGAGCCACCCCCTGAGCCCGAAGCACCACCTCCGGCTGCGACCTCCCCTCCACCTTCATCTCCTAAAGAAGAAGCCCCTCAGTCTCCCCCTAAAGCCAAGCCTCGCTCCAGGCCCCTGGAAGATAATGAGGAGAGCAAGCCAAGGCTCAAAAAATGGAAAGGGGTGCGTTGGAAACGGTTACGTTTCCTCATCACCATTCAGAAGGGTGGTACCAAGCGTGATGGGGAGAGGGAGATTGCGGAGTTCATTGAGCGCTTGGCCACTATTCTTCGGCCGGAGAAAGTGCCACGCGATTTACGGAAGTGCTGCTTTTGCCACGAGGAAGGAGATGGAGCCACGGACGGTCCAGCCCGCCTCCTTAATCTTGATCTGGACTTATGGGTGCACCTCAACTGTGCCCTCTGGTCCACGGAGGTTTACGAGACTCAGGGCGGGGCCCTAATTAACGTGGAAGTAGCACTGCACCGGGGCCTGCTCACCAAATGCTCGCTTTGCCAGAAGACCGGTGCCACTAATAGCTGCAACCGTATCCGCTGCCCCAACGTCTATCACTTTGCTTGTGCTATCCGTGCCAAGTGTATGTTCTTTAAGGACAAGACGATGCTGTGCCCGCTGCACAAGCTCAAGGGTCCCTGCGACCAGGAGCTCAGCACCTTCACTGTCTTCCGACGGGTTTACATCGAGAGGGATGAGGTCAAGCAGATTGCCAGCATCATCCAGCGCGGGGAGCGCCTCCACATGTTCCGGGTGGGAGGCCTGGTCTTCCATGCCATAGGGCAGCTCTTGCCCCACCAAATGGCGGACTTTCACAGTGCCACAGCGCTCTACCCTGTGGGCTACGAGGCCACCCGCATCTACTGGAGTTTGCGGACCAACAACCGGCGTTGCTGCTACCGATGCACCATTTGTGAGAACAACGGCCGGCCAGAGTTTGTGGTTCAAGTGATGGAACCTGGTCTGGAGGATTTGGTCTTCACAGATTCCTCGCCACAGGGTAGAGATCAGTTTGAGCTTCTGTTTCATGAGTTTGCTGGTTGTGAGCTTTTGACGAAGACCAGAATTCTTCCTCTTTAAGATCCCAAATGTCTAAAATTGTGCGAGGTTGACTTGAGAAAATCCACTTCCTCTGCCCAGAATTAATGGTTTAAAAAGCACAGCAGCTGTAGACATACGTTAAGAGAGGTCTATTTTCTGATGCACTGAGCTTATTTCACGTTTGAAAGTAGGAGGAAGACTCTTGGGCCCTGCAAAACTCAGCAGGGATGTCCAAATGTGTCCTCTTGGGTACATGTAAAATTAATAACCCTTTAAAATAGTTGCTACATTGTAAATCATGCTTTTCAGACAGTGGTCTTTAAAGTGGCTAAAGGGGGGGACTGTTTTCATGTTTTCGATCTAAAAAGACCATATGGAGGAGAAGGAAGGTTATTTTCAAGATCAGGGAGATGAGGGAGTAATACATTGGCATATAGAGGCAGTTCAGGCTAGACCAGGGGCAGGCAACCTTGGCTCTTTTATGACTCGTGGACTTCAACTCCCAGAATTCCTGAGCCAGCATGGCTCAGCTTGGAAACCTCTCCCTTTCCCCTCAGCATGGCTGGCTCAGGAATTCTGGGAATTGAAGTCCACAAGTTACAAAAGAGCCAAGGTTGCCTACCCCTGGGCTAGACTAGCGATTTCTTTGTGAAGTTCCTATGGAAGTAACAATCTGTGTCACCGTTCCTGAAGGAACTTTGGTGGTGGGGAGGCTGAGAGTTTGCTGGGGCTGACACAATATAGGTAGTCCTCAACTTGCGACCACAATTGAGTCCAAAATTTCTGTTTGCTAAGCGAACTAGTTCAGTGAATTGCCCCCCTATTTTACTTCCTTTCTTGTACACTTGTTAAGGGGATCACTGCAGTTGTTAAGTCAGTAACACGACCGATAATTGAATCTGGCTTCCTCAATGACTTTGCTTGTCAGAACTTTGCAAAAGGTGATCACATGACACCCCCCCAAAGACACTGCAACTGTTATAAATACCTGCCGGTTGCCAAGTGTCGACATTTTCAATACATGACTACGGGGATGCTGCAACAGTTGTAAGTGTGAAAGAGGAATATAAGTCACTGTTTTCAGTGGCGTAACTTCAAACACTAAAGGAATATTTTTGTGAGTCGAGGACTACCTGTATTTGCTGATAATGGGAGCAATCTTTTCCCCAAGCCTAAACAAGCAAACAAACAAACAATCTCCACCCAAATTAAAAGAGAGGTGTTTTCTCTTTCTCTTTCCTAATTATAAGATAAGATAAGATAACCTTTATTGTCATTTTTTTACTGTGGGCACAACGGCACATATCAAAAATGAAATTTAGTTGCCCGCTCTCAAAGTGAAACACATACATGACACAGTGAAACACATACATGACAGAAAGAGAAGGAGAGTCAGTTTCCCACTAGAATGACATATCTACTAGTTGAGAAGCACATCTCAAACAGTTGCTCCCTTTTAGGGTAAATTTCATTTTCCAGGGATTTTCTTAAAAGTAAAACAGCCTTCACTCTTGTCCAAATTTTTGGTCTCGTTCATGTCAGGAAGCAGTACCTATTCCAGTATAAATTATATGAGCATCCAGATAGTTCTCATTTAATGACGGCTCACTCGTTCAAAATTACAACGCAACTATATGAATGGTACTTAACGACCAGTCCTTGAAGTTCTGGCTGTCCCAGCACCACTGCAGTCGTGTGATCAAATCTGGGTGCCTAGCAACCGACACACACTTTCGAACAAGGGTTACATGGTCACCGTTTGTGGCCTTCCCTGCCTGCTTCCCATAAACAGTCAGTGGGGAAGTCAGAAGGGAAGGTTGCATGCTGCTCTGGTAAGTCTTATGCAGTCTCTCCTACCTGGCAGCAGCCAGCCCACCTACGCTCCTGTTGTACCTCACTGGCCACCTGCACACACTCCCTCACCCAGCTGTAGCAACTTACCTGCCTGTCGGCCTGCTTGTGAGTCACCTGGGACTTATTTAATGATCTTTGCTCAACGATAGCTGTGAAAATTGCTGTCACTAAGTGATTAAATCATGTGATGTTATGCTTTACAGCTACATCACTTAACAATGGAAATTCCAGTCTCAATTACCATTGTTAACTGAAAGACTACCTGCACTCTTTATATTAGATGGAATAGGAATAGGAATAGGAATAGGAATAGGAATAGAATAGAATAGAATAGAATAGAATAGAATAGAATAGAATAGAATAGAATAGAATAGAATAGAATAGCTCTGAAAAAATACCATTATGCATATTCCACATACCCACACCTATAGGACACAGAGAAACATCACAGTCTAGTTCAAATGTATACATATGCATGGCGGAAAAAAAGAACCCTGCGAAATTTCAAGATGGATGGCATAAGGAACAAAATTGTTTTGGAATCTAGTGGTTCTGCTATAAATTCAAATACGAAAAAAGGTAATAAAGTAGAACAAATTTTAGTGGAAATGAATATAGGGTGGATGCTTTTCGGCATGGACATTATGAGACGGAGCCTTTTGCCCAGTTCTGCCCTGTTGTCAGTCAGTTTTTAGGGACCTGGTTGCATGTATCTACTTAGCAGTTGTTGAAGGTTGCCTAATGCACGCTACTTTTTGCATTTTTATGCCTGAATTTCTGAATATGTGTCTGAAGTCATAGAGGACTGTCCTACAGCCAAGCATGTTGATAAATTTGAAGCCTGGTTTCTGATTCTCCCTCTCAGTAAATATGTATGTATCTGTCGTAGATGAATGAAAATGTCTCATCTTCAATTCTTCTTCCCTTTTCCTCTCTTGTAACAGCTGTCTGGAACCGCATCATTGAACCGGTGGCTATGATGCGCAAGGAAGCTGACATGCTGCGACTTTTCCCCGAGTATCTAAAGGGAGAAGAGCTCTTTGGCTTGACAGTGCATGCTGTTCTGCGCATCGCAGAGTCCGTATGTACCAAATGCAAGAAACAGGAACCCTGAAGTACAACTGGTGCCAGCAGCCCAAATCTTGACAGAAAATAATCTAATCATAATGGGATCATTCAACTCTTTTATGACCGGCTCACCTCTAGCAACTAAATCAGATTGAGGATGTAGCTTACCTTCTGTGTGGGCAGAATGCTGAATAGGGATGTTCCCATGACTGTCATGGAGACCATGAAATGCCAAGTTAACGACAATCTTGGCATGGATATTAAAGCCCCTACAGCTACTACCTGTAGGATTTCCCTGGCCATTTTTCAGAAATAAAGCTGTGAAGTAGAGTAGGTAATGGTAGATTAGCAATATCTTGACATTTATCTCTGTGACCCATCACTAGATGCAGCCTGCTCAGATTCTAATGCTAAGAAAAAAAAGAACTAGCAAAATTGATAGTCTTTATGGACCATAATAACACCTCATTCAGAAGAGATTGGACAACTGTTTGTCTGAAATGGTATAGAGGTTTCCTGCCTGAGCAGGGGGTTGAACTAGAAGACTTCCAGGTTTCGTTCCAACTCTGTTATTCTATTCTATTAACTTTTAATAAACTATATGTTTTCTTGATTTTTAGTAACAAACTGAAGATGCCTGATAACTAAATCCCATCCTTGCCCCCTTTTTTGGTGGGGTCCATGCAGTTAATGTGTACTCTTGGTAACATTTTAGTTCTCACCAAAGGGACTTTACATTCTCTGAGATATGCTCTCATTGTATCTGGGTCGATCCACAGTTCATACAAAGTGTAATAAAAGCCGCAGTCCCAGAAATACAACCGGTCCATGGAACAGTACCAAGCCGCGGCATGCCAACAACCGGTCCGCACAAACAAGCAAAGCCCCATCTGTGGGATGCAGGCAGCACACAAAACCACGCCCTCTCTGATCCGTGGAAAAACCTTTCTCCATGGAACTGGTCCCTGGTGCCCAAAAGGTTGGGGACCTCTGACCTACAGCATGCTTTCCAGTTGGTATTGATAAACTGGTTAATGAGACCAGTCCTGGAAGTGAGGATGCTAAATTTGCTCATGTCATATTTTTACCACTTAAATTTTGTGCTCTAGGAATAGATTTGCTTTGGTGGACCCATGTGAGGGACTGCCTTATTCTCCATTCATACTGTGTTTTCTCCAGGAACCCTGGCAAGATTGCATAACACACACTCTTCTATTTTTTCCATACTGACAATCCTGTGAGGTAGATTAAGATGACAGTGAGTTGCAAATAGTTACCGAGTCAGCCTCTCTAATTGAGGGTAGACTTGGCTCTGGGTCTTCCTACGTCTTACTCAGCACCAAGAGAAAGGACTTCTCATGCAGTAGAAGTATTGATGATGCTCTCCATTCAATTGTGTCCAATTTTCGGAGAGTCTATGGATCAGCTCACGCCACATTTTCCAAAATCTTAGGTAGCTTCTGCCAGTTGTTTTTATTCTGGTTGGTTTTGGTTTTGATGGTTTCTGTCTAGCCATTGTGCCTTTCCTTTTATCGCTGACCATTCTGGGCATAACATCCTCTTCTCTTCCCAGCTGCCTGGTGTAGAGAGTTGCCAGAATTACCTGTTCCGCTATGGACGCCATCCACTCATGGAGCTGCCACTCATGATCAATCCCACTGGCTGCGCTCGATCAGAACCCAAAATCCTTACACACTACAAACGGTGAGTGAACACCATCTGTTTTACTCTATTGATTGCTGATGATCTTCAGTGAAGAACCCGTGTTGAGACATCAAGCTGAGAGAGCGAAGTGTATCAATTGTAGGAGCCCTTCCTTGATATGCAGAAGGTTCTGGGACAGAATCATATTTGATAGGAAAGATCATAACCAGCCACTTGTGACTTAAAACAAGAAAGCTTCCTGTGTTGCTATGGCTCTGACGTAATGGCACGAGAACCTAGGCAAGAGGAGCCACTGAGAAGCTTTGCAAAGGATAGAATGAACCCGCTATTTCTTTTCTTTCAGATCTGGGGTACAACAGCATCTTAAAATAACCATGTTCAATTTTGATCACCGCTTTTGAGAAGGCATGTAATACAGCTGTAAAAGAGGACAATCAAAATGTTTAGAGGAAACAAAGGTTTTCTATTAAAAAAAAGGTAGAACATTGGGACTGTTCAGGTTAGGAAGAGGTGACATAATGTGTACAAAATCATGGACGACCTAGAGGAAAATAACAGGAATATATGTTTCTTTTGTCGCGGTCAATATACTAATACCAATAATTGCCCAGTGAAACCAGTTAGGATATTTAGAGCAGGTGAAAGAAGGCAGATAGTGCAAAATTAAGTTGTGGAATTCATTGGCCCAAAGAATGACCTTTAACTTACATGGTTTTACAAGGGTTCAAATTCATAATCTTTGAAGATTCGTCTTCCAGCTGTGTGAGGCAACGTAAGCAGATTCTTGATGGTTTTGTTAGATTTGGGGGACAGGTTTTTCTTTTAAACTATATACCTATTTTATAGTTTACAGTTTAGAGGTCTTCTTTCCATTTTGAAATATCAAAGAACTTAGTCAATGGATTTCAGCAACTAGGATCAGAAGAAGTTGAGTGCTACATATCCAACACAGTCCCAGCGATTGTTGCAACTCAAAACTCTGTATTTTATCCTAATTCTTCACTACCCTTACTGATGAGCTTCATATCACTTGTTTTTCTCCTCTCTCCCCCTATATATTTTGAAGGCCCCACACTCTGAACAGCACCAGCATGTCCAAAGCTTACCAGAGTACGTTCACAGGTGAAACAAACACACCCTACAGCAAGCAGTTTGTGCACTCCAAGTCTTCACAGTACCGCCGTCTCAAGACCGAATGGAAGAACAACGTGTACCTGGCCCGGTCCCGCATCCAAGGACTTGGGCTTTATGCTGCCAAGGATCTTGAGAAGCACACAATGGTTATTGAATATATTGGCACCATTATCCGCAACGAAGTTGCTAACAGGCGGGAGAAGATCTATGAGGAGCAGGTATGGGGTGGAATAAGGACTCTATTGGAATATAGTTGCACTAAGGAAATAGAAACATCCACTTCTAATTATAGGTGGGATGGGTGGCCTTAGCTTGGGTAGTAGGTCTGTGTAGACAAGGGTTTCCTAACCGTGGCAACATTAAGACGTGGATTTCAACTCCCAGAATTCCCCATCCAGTGTGGATGACTGGGGAATCCTGGCAGTTGAAGTCCACACATCTTAAAAGTTGCCAAGGTAAGGAAACCCTGTTGTAAAGGGTATTCTGGGCTAACATTTATAGTGAGAAAGTTACTTGACTTAGCTAGTGGTATGAAGAGTCCTCAATCAGAATCAGATTCTGATTGGATATTTGGTATTTCTAGATCTCCGATTGCCACTGAACTTGGATGATTATCTCCCTGAATTCTGTTCTGTCCTTTAATTGGAGAAGAATAGCTTACAATAAAGATGTATAAGTCATTATCACATAAATGGCATCGATCCACACCATCAGAATCCTATACCATTCTGTAGATTCATTAATTTTACAAAAAAAAGAAGACGCTGCATTTTTTCACATGCCATTTCTTCTGAAGTTTTCCTACATACTTTTGCTGTAACACACGCAATTTTAAGCTAAGCAAAGTTTTGAGGTGGGGGCTAGCAGGCTCTGTGAGTTAGCTTATACCCAGATTCTGTTTTGACAGAACTCGTATTTTGCTTGTGAGGAAATGTGCAGTGCACTTGCTTTCTGAAGTTGAAGAAACCAGTTCTGTTTCTGACTCGTTACATTTCCATGTGGTTATTTACTAAGTTTGTTCTAGTTTTTCCCATATTCATATGTTAAAAGTACATACCTTGCTTACTGGTCATTCTTTCAGCAACCATTTGAACTTACGAAAAGGGACACTTAAACAACTGGTCCTTAAAGTACCAGTTGTCACAGCACTCACGTAGTCACGTACAGGAAGTCCTCGACTTATGACCACAATTAAGCCCGAAAATTTTTTTGGCTAAGTGAGACATTTGTTAAGTGAATTTTGCATCACGGTACAACCTTTCTTGCACAGTTGTTCAGTGAATCACTGCAGTTGTTAAATTAGTAAGTGAATCTGGCTTTTCCCCATTGACTTTGCTTGTCAGAAGGTTGCAAAAGGGGATCACATGACCCCGGGGCACTGCGACCGTCGTAAATACTTGCCAGTTGTCATGCATCTGAATTTTGATCATGTGACCATAGGGATGCTGCAACAGTCATAAGTGTGCGTCAGTTCCCAAGCATCTTGATTTTGATCATGTGATTTTGGGGAGGCTGCAGCGGTCATGTGAAAAACAGTCATAAGTCGGTTTTTTTCCAGTGCCGTTGTAAATTCAAATGGTCACTAAATGAACTATTGTAAGTCAAGGACTACCTATATCTGATATAGGTGATCTGGATGCTTGGCAACTGGCTCAACGTACAAAGGTTGCAGTGATCAGATGATCGCCATTTGTGAGCTTCCCACAACAAAATCAAATGGCCTTCCCTACCTGGCAGTAGCTACCCCCAACCCCATCATGCTTGCACCGCATCTCTCAGGCCACCCACACACAATCTCCCCCATGTGGTAACAGCCACCCCCAGCCCTGCCATGTGCTGTACCTTACCTGGGCCTCACAAGCCACCTGGGACTGATTCAGTGACCTACAATCCTCACTTAATGGCAATGGGGAGTGCCACCGCTAAGTGATGTGGTCACATGATATTGCAGATTACAACCATGTTGCTTAGCAACCGAAATCATGGTCCCAATTACCATTGATACTCAAGGATTGCCTGTATACATTAAACATACATTGATGTTTCTTCAGCCAATGGATACATAGATTTCAGTCTAAATATTTTGGTGCTGGATATGTATGATGTTTTAAGTCTTTTCAAAGAGAGTAATCTCATGCTTGTCCCCTAGCATTTGTGCTACTAAAGCAGTTAATCTAAATTCAACTAAAATTGATGGTAAATCTGTGAGGCCTGAAGGAAACATAAAACATGCCATATAATTTCTCTTTTCATGCCTTTCCAGAACCGAGGCATCTACATGTTCCGTATCAATAATGAACATGTGATCGATGCCACCCTTACGGGTGGCCCTGCCAGGTGAGAAAATTTGAATTTATAGGTATTTGTTTACAAAATTAAAAGTTATTAGCTTTATCGATCCATTTAAAGGGGATTTGGATTTGATTTTAAATGATTTTAGACGGGAATATTTTTCTTTAGTTCTCAAGTTCTCATTTGAAGCACAGGAAAAGCAACTTAGGTAAAATTAATTGATTTCAATGTGCCTGGTTGTGTTTTTTATTACTGGTTAATACTGTTTATTCATTGCTAGTTAGAACATTTTTTTCAGTGAGAAGAAAGCACTGATAGAGTGTCATAAGTACTTCTGAACTGCTGCAACTAAGAGTTACATGGCTTATCGACCAATTAATTCTAGGGTTCACAACGGAATACTAATTGTCATATTTTGTTCCTCTCAAATAGGAAGCTATTATTTTCTTAACACCTTCTTAAAAATACAGTTGTTCACATTTTATTAATTGTATTTATTAGTAATTAAAATTTATTAATTAAAGATTAATTTACGTTACTCTATAATAAAATAGGGTGCAAATCAATTAAAACAAAAAAGAAAAGAAAACACAAAAGCCACGATAGAAAGCATTCAGTAAGCAAGGCGATAGTAACAGTAAGGATAATAAAGGTAATGTGAGCAATCATTATTAAATCTTGCCCAAGGTAGTTCCTTCAGAGCAAAGGATTCTTAATACACCACATATTTTTTGCATAAGTTCTTTGGTCTCATAAACCCCGCAGTCCTATTAATGTTAAAAATAGAAGGCAGGAATCCTGGTACAACCAGCTTGAGCAGGCACCGTTCCAGAGTTTCCAGAACATTCTGAAGAATTCCAGGCTGAGCTCTTCTGACGTTTCACAGAATGGGTTTCCACAGTGACAAACCCAGGGCCCCATTGCATGATTTTCCTTCTTCTTCCCCTCCAAGGTACATTAACCATTCCTGTGCGCCGAATTGTGTGGCTGAGGTTGTGACTTTTGACAAAGAGGACAAGATAATCATCATCTCAAGTCGCCGAATACCCAAAGGAGAGGAGGTGAATATTGGATTGTTGGACGCGCAAATGGCACAAAAATGAACCTGCAGGTAGTCCTTGACCTATGACAGCAACCGATTCAGTCAGCAACTGCTCCAAATTATGACAGCATTGAACAAATGCTGGTTACAACTGGTCCTCAGAGTTCCAGCTATCCCAACACACACACACACACACACACACACACACACACACACACACCCTCCGTGGTCATGGGAAGGCAGTCTGGATGCTTGACAATTAACGATGGCAACCAGGACTGCAGGAATTGCCGTCACTAAGCGACACAGTTATGCTTTACAACTACATCATTTAGTGATGGGAATGCCTGCCTCAATTGCCATTGTAAGTTGAGGACTGTCTACATGGTGTATAATTTCCCTTAAAATGTTACAAAGAAACTACCTGTCTGATGATAACAGGGTAGATTTCATATTCTAGTTCACTTTGAGCTTATTTACCTAGAATGTTCTATTTTTCATCAATTCTTGTTCAACTCAAGCTAGAACATACAGGCTTCCAGTGATCTCTCAACTGACCTGCTAAGCTTCCAACAAAGTTTCTACATTATGTTCCCTTATTTTATGCTTTGGAGAAAGTTTTTTTTTTACCATTCTCCCATAATGAATACATTGCTTTAAAATGGTAAGAGCCATATGTATCCTAAATGAGGAGAGAGGTACACATCAAAAAGAGTTACAGCTTATTTCATTTTGGTTTTAATGCTGCACAAACTCTTTACTTGGCTTGCTTATTCTGGACATGGGGATTATGAAAATCACATTTTAGGTGTTTGCATTCAATCCTTTCCTTGTCTGTGCCAATATCTGACAGGTGTGTGTGTGTATTATATATATACACATACATACATACATACATACATACATACATACATACATACATACATACACACACACACACACACAGTCGTGTGCAAAAGAAAGTACACCCGTTGAAATGTTTGATTTTTTTTTAACACCTAGGTATTCCTGGTGTTATGACCATTCATTCAGCAAATGTTCAGAGTTATCGTGACACTGAACAAAACAAAAGTTACATCCAGTCCCTGAAGTTACAGCTGTTGCAGCTCCCCTGTGGTTATGCGATCAAAATTTGGGTGCTCAGCAGTTTGCCTACCCTTACGACTGAGGAGTGTTTCAACTCCACCCACCCACCCACATCTGCCCTTTTGACCATCCCGCATAGCAGTACCTCGTGGTGGGGTGTTGAGGCTGAAGTAGAGGTCTTGGGCCTTCAGCAGCCCCAGCTGGCCACCGTTGATCCCAGACTTCGGCCCCAGGGCCCTTGCCACAAAGGAGGGCCACCTCAAGCCCCGTGCTGTGGCCAGCAGTCATGCTGCAAAGCCATTCCCCCATTGACTTTGCTTGCTGGAAGCCGGCTGGGAAGGTTATAAATGCTGATCACATAATCCTGGGACAGTGCATCTTGTCATAAACACACGCTGGTAGCCAAGCGACTGAATTTTGATCACCTGACCACAGGGATGTTGCAAAGTGCCGTTGTAACTTTGAACGGTTCACAAAGGGTCGACTTACAACAGTCCGTTTAGTGACCCGTTCAAAGTTACAACCGCACTGAAAAAAAGCGACTGGTGACCATTTTTCACATTTATGACTCTTGCGGCATCCCCAGGGTCACGTGGTTAAACGTTTGGCAGCTGACTCCTATTTATAACAGTTTCAGTGTCCCAGGGTCATGTGATTCCCCCCTTTTACCATCATTCTGACAATGCGGGGATTCACTGAACAACCATGTTACAAACTTAACAGTTGTAGGGATTCACCATTGTAGGTCATAGAATGGAGCAAAGTTCACTTAACAAACATTTCGCTTCGTAACAGAAATTTTGGGCTCAGTTTTGATTGTACGTCGAGGACCTACCTGCATCGTAAGTGGTGCCAGAAAAAGGCTTGAATTAAGCCTGAGCCTTACCCTGTTCTCATTTCTTTCTTCTGCAGCTGACGTACGACTACCAGTTTGACTTTGAAGACGATCAGCACAAAATCCCATGCCATTGTGGAGCCTGGAATTGCAGGAAGTGGATGAACTAGCTCCAAGGGGCTCTTTGACGAGGCAGAGGCCCACCCTGATAACCTGGCACAGATGGTGCCCTCGGCTGGGCGAGAGGGGGCCCTTTCTGCCAACTCTCCCAACTAGCCAGCATGGCCGAGAGTCACCCAGGGAAAGCATGATTGGAACTTGCCATCCCAACATGCTCACGGGGTAGCCGGGACCCAGATTTAAAGGGGGTGATGTCAGCCTACCTGCCCCTGCAAGCCAATATTGTCGGTGGTTTACATCCAGTTGGTTCTTTTGGCAGTTGGGTTTGGTTGCCTCCTGCTTCTTGACAAGGCAACCGACTTCCCCCCCCCCCCAATGAAAGGCAACAGCCGCTAGCAACTCCACCTGGGGTGGGAAAATGGATAAACTGGAACTCAGGGTTTTCTTTTTAGTATTTTTCTTTTGTGGGCAAAATGGGGATCCTTCTACCCCTATGCACCTGTATATAATGGACTATCAGAAATATACTGCGGTGGGGGGGGGAGAGAGCCTGGGGCATTCTGTCTAGCAGAGTTGGGGAAAGAGGGCTGCAGCATGGCTACGGAATCTCCCCAGGAAGAATTTGTAGGGGTTTTTTCCCCCCCCTTTGTGTGTGTGCGTGTTGGACGCAAGAAGAATTAAAAAAAAAAAACCCTAATCTCTATTGCTTGCTAATCTACCAAGGTAACAAGAGACTTCAAAGAGACTTGTTTTAGCTTGACAATCCACCTTCCAGAGCACCTCCCTCTGGATTTTCTTTTAATTTAGGTGTTGGATTTAAACTTGTGTGTGTGAGTGCGGGTGTACATATGTGTGCTTTTTGGAGTCGGGTCTGTTTCTGAGAGAGAGCGGGCGCTGCCTTGCGGAAACTGGAAACAGATCCTCCCTGTCTCTTAGCCCTGCCCCCCGCCCCGAAATCTTCCACGTGCGAGGAGCATCTGCACTCGAACCTACCTCATTTGAAGCGTTAGATTTTGGTGTCTTTTCCCCCCCTCCCCTCCTCTCTCTAATGTGAGCCCCTCGCTGTGCCGCCCTTCTTCCCAAGTCCTCCGAACACGGAGAGCCACAGTTGCTCTGTTTTTCCATGGGAAATTATTCGGAGGTGAGGTGAAAAAAAATGTCTTCTTCTGGACTTGTCCTTTGCCTTTTCTCCTCTTCTCTCTCCGGTCTCCCTTCAACCCCAGGTAGTCCTCAGTCTCCTGGACCTCCTTTGGAGGCTGAACCGCAGAGCTCTGGGAATCCCCATCCGTCAACAGAAGAGCCGGACGCACTGCAAAACAAGAGGTGGCTTGACTATGCCAGGGCGTCCTAAGGAGAGAAAGCCCCCTGAGAGCTGCTTGGTTGGTAGACCCCAGACCCAGAAAAGGGAAATGCCCATTGGATTAAGAAGGCAAGGGTTAGTACCGGTGAACTCTTTTGACAGTGTCAGGTGGGGCGGGTGGGGGAGCTGGTTCCCAGTGAGACTCGCACCCTCCAGTAAAGAGGCAGTCAGTTCCCTCTCTCGTCTCCCCTGATTAACTTGCTGCTCTGAAGGCTCACCGTGTGGATGCGTGCGAGTGTGGGTGTATAATTATGTCTGTACATATAAACGGAGGAGATTGAGAGAACGTGGGCACATTGCAGAGTTTGGGATTATTTATCTATTTATATAAATAAATATATATATATATATATATAAATATATTGTGTATATATTTGATATAGCATGGGGAGGAATACCCTGCCTGCAGGGTTTTTCTGGACTGCTGGGTGGATCTCTGCAGAGCCTTCCCTCCCCTCCATTGGGTGGGACGGGAACTATGGGAGAGAGAGAGAGGGAGAGAGAAAGAAAGAGAGAGAGAGAGAGAGACTTGTTTATTTGCAGAATTTTGGGTAGGAAGCCTGTAAAGAGCTTGTTTCTATGCTTCCTGTGTATATACATATATATTTTCCTTTTTTTAAATAAGAAAAAAAAATCAGTTTATAACCAGTATCTAAAGAGCCATCTGCCCAGCAGCATCTCCCTCCCCCCTTATAGGGAAATTCCTTATTAACCGAAGGCAAACTATGGGCATTAATACAGGTGAGACCGTCAGAAATGTGTTTTCACCATTTAAAATATGACACATGTTCTCCCCTGCTGCTGAACGAAACTTTGGAAGACTGCTGTACCCTTGAACTGAAGTTGACACGCGAGAGGAGCAAACGTCAGAGGGTCTTGATGGAGAAGGCTCTCTCGACTGACAGTGTATCATTTATATCTTTTAGCGCACAATTGCACCACTTCCCTTCTCCGGTTTCTAAACACACACACGCATCCCCCCCCCATTATGCCCATAAGAGTGGCATCTAACCGACCACAGTTCACAGATGATCGATCGGACAATGCAGAGGGAATGTGTGCACGGTCAAAGTCAGAAGAAGGACAAGGGGGGGGGGGTAATTAAAATCAGGGTTAGCATGCAAAAGTGTCTTTTTTTAAAAAAAAAATGTGGCAAGATGAGAACCATGTTCTTGAGTGCAAAGCTGCTTCTGCAAAACCGATCTAAGCTATGACGGTTAGAAAACAGTAGGAGATAATGACAGATTATTAAAAGTAATTAAAACTGTATATAAGATGACATTTGTGTAGAGAAGGGGGGAATTTTTATCATTTACAAAACCACTGGACGTTGTTTTAAAATAAAGGTTTGAGTTAAAGCCAGTATACATTTTTGTCTTTGGATTTTGTTTGTGTGTCTTTCCATTAATTTGGAAAGCTGTAAAGATGTAAAAAAAATAAATAAATTTTAAAGAATTGCTACAAAGGTTTAAAAGCTTGAGAGAGATTTTAAAGATGATAAAATGACTGAATATAATAGATTGTCAGGATTTTTTGGGATGACGGTTAGAGTTTAAGATAATTCTGTAGATTTTAGCTGATGAAGAAAAAGACTATACAATTTTTAATTTTTATATAAACTATAACCTGGTCTTGAAACTAAAAATTTTTTTAAAGTTCTCTGCCTGTATAACCGCATTTGACGCCTTGTCCCATACATCTGTTTACAGTTGCACATATTATATATATTAAGTTTTATCCCTTTTATGAACCCAAATAATCACTTTTTTAAAAATAAAGTGTGGACTTTGTGAGGAATAATATTTTGTGTTGGGGATTTTGTTACTTTGTGTGTGTGAGTTCTGTATAGCAAAGTTATCTTTCATAATGAAAGAACTGAAAACAAAATAGACCTATTCCTTAAAAAGCATAAATAAAATCAAAAATCAAATCCCATTCTTGCTCCTGCTATGTTCTGTATTTGGTATAACTTTGAAATATATATAATTTGGGTTCAAAGATGAAAAAAAATACTCATGATTGCTTTTCTGAGAAGACTGTAAATCAAGAGAGTTCTTTAAAATGTTAAATGACAAGTCTGATTTTTTTTATACTTAATATGTGCTGATGGAAAATAGACTCACATCTGATGTTAAATGTTTATTTTCTTATTAACTCTCTTTCAGTCAGTAGAGCACATCAAGACCAGGCCTGATTTGCCAATGAACATATATTTGAGGCAATATCTGAGTTACCTTTTTTGGTGGCCAGTCAGTGGATACACTTCCTGTTCTTTCCTACTATTTTGTGTAAAAAAAAAAAACCTTGGATGGCCTGCTTGGCAATTAAATGGGAGCCACCATGAATGGTTTAATGTTTAATTTTAGTTTAATTTCTCTGCTGAGTTGCCAATGCCTAATCACCGTCTGCTGTAAATTATCACTGCTGGATTAACTGACACTGCCCTTATTCCCTCTGTTCCTTTGTATAGAGTGCAGCAAGATTAGTAAGACTAGTGCTTAAGGACAGGCAGGAAACTCATTTAAAATAGAAATGTCCTTCAACCTCATCACTATAGCTCTCTTTGGTGATCACCTTTGAAATAATTTTCTGCATTTCTAGCACTATTTTCTTGTCCAAAGTAGTTTTATCACAAGTACTTTTTGGGTGAGAGAATTTAAGTTAGCTGTGCAAAGAGCTCTTTAGAGCCAGACTAACCAGATGCACATGGATTAAGATTTGTGGAGTACTTGGTACTCTCTGAATTTGGTTGTTTGCTTGCAGATGTTTAATTACCCAACTAGGTATGTTTTTAGTGTTAGAAAAAAGAGGGGTTTGCTCTCTGTTTATAACAGTAGCTTGCCCAGTCATGTTGGTGGGGCTGTTTTCTCTCCTTGGTAGTTCCTTGATTTGGCTGTTGTTTACTGTTTAATGGTTGCTGCTTGGGTGGGAAAGGGAGCAAGGGATTGTGAGACTGGCTGGGAAACTGTCACAGAACATTGAAAGTCAAAATCACATGACCGCATAGTATTGAAGCAGGCAGCGGCAGCTTCCCCAAATTTCATTCCCTTGAGAATCATGGGTTCTAGATTTTGAACACATTCTGTAAGCTAGCCATTTGAGTTATCTTGGCTCAAAAACTGTTGCCCTACAGTGCACTATTTCACCTGGTTAAAGATCATGATGAGAGTTTTAGTGTGTATATGCTATGATAGTAGAGTGACATTTGCCTTCTCAATAGAACAGAAGTCCCCAACCTTTTGAGCACCAGGGACCGGTTCCATGGAGAGAGGTTTTTCTGCGGACTGGAGAGGTCGTGGTTTCATGTACTGCCTGCACCCCACGGATGGGGCTTTGCTTGTTTGCGTGGCCCGGTTTCTGGCCGTGGCCTGGTGCCGGTCCACGGACTGGGGGTTGGGGACCCCTACAATAGAAGATTGCTAAGTTTGAACTGAGCAGATTTTTTTTTATTCACTAAGCTAATTTGATCTTTTTTCCTGTAAAGGTAGAAGGGCTTCACCTGGATGCAATTCTTGTCAAAATCAAGTAGGACTTTCTGAAACTGGACCCACTGAACTGACTTAAATATTTTTAAAAGCCCAAGGAAAAATAACAAATTCAATCAATAAATAGGCAGTTATCCCTGGAGTAATGTTGAATGTTGAAGTTGTTGAATGTTTTGTTTCTCTGATTTGAGAAGTGTTAGCTGAGGTTAAAAACAGCAAGACAAGGAGCCAGACATATTTTCTCTTTGGGTTTAATTTTATTTATAAGCTGCTCTAATCAACTCAGAGCAGCATACATCCCAACTATTGTAAATCAGATTAAAAACATACAGTACACATTAGAGTAAAATGGCAATAATTACAATGCTTAAAACAGGACATAGGGACATATAAGCCAAAATTTAATTCAACTACCAAGCAAAAGACCATTTCTATTGCTGGAGAAAACAGATTGTAGTAGTACTCTCACGTCCAAGGCCTGTATCTTTTGACAGTGTTCCTAAAAACCAGCAGGAAGGGAGCCATTTGGATATGTGGGCAAATACCATTCCAAAGTGGGGAGCAGTTAAGGAGGTATGTGATTGTTGCAGGGGCAAAATAAATGAGGAGAAATGTCATTCCCAAATGTATGAGTTAAAGCAGGGCTTTTCAACCTTTTCACTCATTGTACCACTTTTAGGATATGGCAGCATCCGAGTACCACCAGTCGCCTAGCAAGGTGTCGAAAACTTGATGACCCAAAAAGGAAAAAAGCGATAAGGTACAGGTAGTCCTTGACTTACAACAGTTCGCTTAGTGACTGTTCGAAGTTACAATGGCACTGAAAAAAGTGCCCCCCAAGCCACAGCCCAGCAAGACACCTGCCTGCCCACCCGGCGGCGCTCTTCCTCCTGTCTGAGGTTTTCATTGTTGTGAGCAGTTCTATTGAGGATTGGCAGTGGAGGTGGGGTGGGGAGTGTTTGGTTTTTATTCCCCCCGTCTGCTGCATGGTTGGTCACTTCACATGACCCTGGGACACTGTGACTGTCATAAATATGAATCAGTTGCCAAGCATCTGAATGTAAATCACAAAAGCCTGGAGATGCTGCAACATTCCAGCTGATCGGCGCTTCTTCTGGGCTCAGCAGAAGCGCCAGGATCAGTGCTGCTTTCCAGCTGATTGGTGCTTCTTCAGGGCTCAGCAGAAGTGCTAGGATCAGCGCCGAGCTCCAGCTGGATCCTGGCGCTGATCCTGGCGCTTCCACTGAGCCCTGACAGCCCTGCAGCTCCAGCCATCTCTCGCTCAGGCTTGTGCAGTGCTGCCACCGGCTCAGCTCATTCCCCTCACCCGCTATCACTTTTCTAGGATGGTCGTGTACCACCTGCCAGGTGCCAATGTACCACAGGTGGTACCCGTACCACTGGTTGAAAAGCCCCTGAGTTAAAGGATAGGCAGAGATCATCAAAATGCTAAATAGCCAATCAGGAAGATTCTGCTCTTAAGACAGGCCAAGAGGAAACAAGAAAAAGCAGCTTTATTCTGCCTTTTGCCTGCTTTCTCATGCAAAGGAGCAACTTTTCCAGAGGTGGTTCAAAGCAAGGCAGACATAAGCTTCCAATCCACAGAAATGTAGGCTTTTAAACCAGGAAAAATACAGGGACTAGTAGATTAGAATTTTACGGAAAATGATTTCAGCAACGATGCCTTTGTTTTGGGGATTAGGTTTTTATTCTATCTGTAGTGGCTGAAAGAACACCAGTTGGGATGATCATTTAAAAGTTATTATTTCCCCCTGTGGGCTTTCAACCTTGGTTTAGTGGCTGGGGAATTCTGGAAGTTGAGGTTCACATGTCTTAAAGTTGCCCAGCTTGAGAAGCACTGATTTTCTAGATAATCCTATAAAAGCTTATCTAGTTGGGGAGGGTGCAAACATAATTGTGGGAGAACCATCTCTGCTTATGAAAGCCAGAAGGTTAAAAGCCACCACACTTCAAACATCTACAGTGAGGGGGGAAAAGTATTTGATCCCCTGCTGATTTTGTATGTTTGCTCACTGACAAAGAAATGATCAGTCTATAATTTTAATGGTAGGTTTATTTTAACAGCGAGAGACAGAATAACAAGAAAATCCAGAAAAACGCATTTCAAAAAAGTTACAAATTGATTTGCATTTTAATGAGTGAAAGAAATATTTGATCCCCTATCAATCAGCAAGATTTCTGGCTCCCAGGTGTCTTTTATACAGGTAATGAGCTGAGATTAGGGGCACTCTCTTAAAGGGAGTATTCCTAATCTCAGCTTGTTACCTGTATAAGACACCTGTCCACAGAAGAAATCAATCAGATTCCAAACTCTCCACCATAGCCAAGACCAAAGAGCTGTCCAAGGATGTCAGGGATAAGATTGTAGACCTACACAAGGCTGGAATGGGCTACAAGACTATCACCAAGCAGCTTGGTGAGAAGGTGATAACAGTTGGTGTGATTATTTGCAAATGGAAGAAACACAAAATAACTGTCAATCTCCCTCGGTCTGGGGCTCCATGCAAGATCTAACCTCCTAGAGTTTCAATGATCATGAAAACGGTGAGGAATCAGCCCAGAACTACACTTGAGGATCTTGTCAATGATCTCCAGGTAGCTGGGACCATAGTCACCAAGAAAACAATTGATAACACACTACACCGTGAAGGATTGAAATCCTGCAGCCCCTGCAAGGTCCCCCTGCCCAAGAAAGCACATGTTCAGGCCCATCTGAAGCTTGCCAATGAACATCTGAATGATTCAGAGGAGAACTGGTGAAAGTGTTGTGGTCAGATGAGACCAAAATCAAGTTCTTTGGTATCAATTCAACTCGCTGTGTTTGGAGGAGGAGGAATGTTGCCTTATGATCCCAAGAACACCAACCCCACTGTCAAACATGGAGGTGGAAACATTATGCTTTGGGGGTGTTTTTCTGCTAAGGGGACAGGACAACTTCACCGCATCAAAGGAACGATGAACAGGGCCATGTATTGTCAAATCGTGGGTGAGAACCTCCTTCCCTCAGCCAGGGCATTGACAATGGGTTGTGGATGGGTATTCCAGCATGGCAATGACCCCAAACACACGGCCAAGGCAACAATTTGCCACCAAGTACTAAGTCATGTTTTGCGAAGGGGTCAAATACTTATTTCACTCATTAAAATGCAAATCAATTTATAACTTTTTAGAAATGCCATTTTCTGGATTTTTGTTTTTATTCTGTCTCTCACTGTTAAAATAAACCTACCATTAAAATTATAGACTGATCATTTCTTTGTCAGTGGGCAAGCATACAAAATCAGCAGGAGATTAAATACTATTCCCCCCCTCACTGTATGTGTACACTCAGTTGCGAGAGTATTCAAATAGATGTCTTTAAACTTATCAAAGTTATATTATTCTGATTTGGTGATTTTTTTTAAGGGGGGGTGGCTCCAGGAAGCACAAGAGGGCTGCTCACTTCTATCTTAACTATTTCAGTGATAGAGACTCAGTATTCCTCTACTAAGTTCTATTAACTCTTTTATCTATATAGCTATAGACAACAGGACCTTCCAATAGCTGAAATGTGGTAATATAAATATTGATGGGCCAGAGTCTCATATAGGAGATTCTACTGTGCTTCCCCTCTTTTTATATGGAATGTACCTAAAAGGTACAAGTGGGAGGATTCCCTAGGCATCAAGTCATTTCCAATTACTTTTCTCTTTTGCCACAATAAACAAACAGTGTAATATAACCTGTAAACTGTCTAGAGTCACCTTGGCTGGCATAAAAAATAATAATAAATAAAATAAATACAAACCAATATCCCTGCATAGCTTGAGTTGGGGAGCTTGGAACTAATCTAGTCTCTATGGTGTGAGTTCAAGTATGCGTTTACCTTTTTATATTACCATAACATAATAGTAGCACACCTAGTTCTTAGACTTGTAGCCCCGTTGGGTGTTTTTAGTCTTACACTTTTATCGGCTATCTCCATAGTTAATGGTAAGGTCTGACAGAGAGTACGGTCCCTTGTGGATTTTTGAAGCCAATTTAAAACCACCATTTTAATATTTAGTACAAAATTTTGATCAGAAAAAAATAGCTATAAAGTGTTTGCTAATAACTATAAGCTTTCGTTTATTTTGACCGTCTTTCTTGCTCTAGAATAGATGGCTATTTGTAATACTGTCCAAGTAAATAGAGCGCTCATCTTGTACTTCAAACCAATCCCCTCAAGGTAACATTGGATCACTTTCACAGATCACTTTCACTGGATCACTGTCACAGATGTGTGAAGAAGCCTCACAAGAAATGAGATTCCTGTAGCTTGTCAACAAGCAGGTTAGAGATGTCTGCCCTATAAAAAAATAAGGACTTTTTTTTTTTTACAAGCTGGGGAACTATGATAGAAACTAACAACAAACAAGGTTCATACACAGATTGAATAAGTCATCTGCACGTGTCATTATCTTTTTAGCTTTTAATGTTGACAATTTCATGGGGCTGGTATAAGCAGGGCTGATAAAAGAACAAAAGCAGTGCAGAACACTGACTGTTCTAATAATTTAATTTGCATCTTCCAACTTCAATGTTGCGTTACATTTTTCCTTTCTAACCAGAAGACCTATTTTAAAGGGGGGGGGGAAGGGAGCAGAGGGACAGTGCAAGGGGGTGTACTCTATACTTTGCATTCAACTGGAATGAACAAAGTTATGCTAATATGTTCCTACCATGCAAGTATTTACAAAATATAGTATTTGCACAGCTTAGAACCGTAGGCATGAGACCTGTCACATACTTACAGTTCTAATTCATTTTCCTGAGTGGGGAAACTCTATAAATTTAGCAGCACAACCACATTTGAAAAAGAGACGTTTTCAAACCAAAGAAAGGTGGTCTCAAGATCCCTTCCAGAAAGGGATTTCAGTCCCCCACTACAAATAGCAAAAGCAGGAGTTTTACACAGGAGAGCTAGAGAACTCATGTTCACATGACAATTCAACTATTGTTTCATTCCACCAGAGAATTCCACCCCTAGTGTAGACTAGCCGCAAGAAAAATGGCTTGGATTTCCTTGCCAGAAACACCGAAGGACGCTCCATACTGCCCAGGCATTTGAGCAGTGGCAGCTCGCCCTTCCTCGCCCAGTGAAACCTGGTTCCAGAGAGTCCGGAGTGATGCAACCACAGCTTTGCCCACACTTTCTTGGAACTAGTTTTTCTTTGGAAGAATTAACGTCTCAGCAATGCCAAGATTCCTTCTGCTTCAGTACCGGTTGATACCAAAGAGACGGACGCCGTGGAATAGGGGTAGTTTGGGCAAGAGGACGCTCAGGAGCGAAGAGGTGTTGATTATGAAGTGCACAGGGTCGTATTTTGTATAAAAGCTGGTTAAAATGTAGCTGAAAGTAAGAAATATACACAATTAGTTACAGATATGAATCCGAGCCTCTCCAATTCATGTTTTGTTTTCCTTTAAGGAAAGGTGATGGAAAGAGTCATGCAATACAGTCATTGCAGGTAGCCCTTGTTTAAGGACTGCCTTGTTTAGTGACCACTTGCAGTTGTGCAGGTGGCGAAAAAGTAACTACGCAAACAATCCTCCCTTCACAGGTCTGTAAAAGAAAAGCTGAAGTAAGGTCATAAGCACAGTCATGGTTTCATTTCGCGAAGACTCTTGGTCCCAACTGTGGACATCAAACAAGGACTATGTTTTAAGAAAATGAAATTACTAGCAGCCCAGCATTTAGTTTATAGGCAATCAGCAAATACCTCTTGAGCAAATCAAACCTCAGTAAATTCAATTAAAATGCTGTCTTTCCGTTGGTGGAAGTTTCAATCTGAGTAAAGAAATCACAATGATAATCTATATGGATTTTCCTACCAAAGGAACTGCTATTTCACATCAGGTGAGTGACTGGGGGGAAAAAAAAACATTTCATCTAACATCTAAAATCTGGATGAAAATATGCATCTGCTCTGTGTAACAATGAACTAGGTGCAGGTAGAATTGGAAATCTTTTTCAGCTACTCAGCCTATCACAGTGATGGCGAACCTTTTAGAGACCGAGTGCCCCAAAACAGCCCCCCCACCCCCGTCCTCGCTCCGCCCTGCCTGCTGAGCCACCCACCCCCTCCACGGCCCGCCACTGATCACCCAGGCAGCCCAGCAGCGCCATGGCGGCCACGCTCTCCGCCCGTGCCCCGCAGCATCATCTGTGTGCGATGGGGCGCAAGGGCGGAGTCTTGTCCCCGCTGCCCGGCTATCATGTCCTTGGTTGCGCTGTTTCCCGTGGGCCGTGCCCGGGGGCGACTCTCCTCTGGGGGGGCTGCTGGTGAGGAGGGGGCCATAGGAGAAGGCAGGGCTGGGGCAACAGTGCGTGTGCCGACAGAGAAGGCTCCGAGTGCCACCTCTGGCACGCGTGCCATAGGTTCGCCATCACTGGCCTATCAGATTACTCCATATTACAGAACACTAGAGGGGGGTTACTACTGTATCTATGGAAATTCTTTCTTATGTCTTTTTTTTTTTTAATTTATTTTTTATTTTTCCAAACTCTCCCCCATACATATACCGTGATATTTATCAGATATTAACATACATTCTTTTACATTCTTATATATAAGATACTTTTAATGAAATAAATACATACACATGACTTTTGGTGTTGCTCGCCCATTTCCCCTTTCACTGCATCCCCACTCCTTCTCTACCTTCTTTCTCCCTTCCTTCTCTTTCTTCCCTACTTCCCTCTTCTTCCTCTCCTCTCCTCTTTCACCACTCTCTCCTCCAACCTTCCTACTTCCTTCTCCCCTCCTTTACTCTTTTCTCTCTCCTCTCCTTTCTTCCCTCTCCTCCCTCTTCAGATACAATTCAGGGGTAATGTCCGAGCAACTCCTCTCTCCATGTTTCCCAATCTGTATTATATACAATAAGATTAATTTTCTCTTACATTAATACTTCTATTTATCTAACCTTCTCAGTATATACGTCTATAAATATGTATACAACCTCCAGTTATTCAATACTATGTCGCCTGGGTCTCCCTCCTTATCTGCTCCTCCTTCTTCCATCTAAATTGATGTTAACTATCTTTTAACCGTATTCTCTTTTCAGCCAATCATAAAAAGTTCCCCAGATTTCATAGTAGTCTGACTCTGTCTTATCTTTAATCGTCATTGTTAGTCTATTCATTTCTGCACATTCCAGTATTTTCCCAATCACCTCTCCCTCTGGGGGGGCTTTCAGTGCTTTCTCTTTCTTATGTCTTTGAGCACCTGTTGCTATGACTGAGTAACTCAAGAGTGTGAATGAATTCCAATTCTTTTTGTTGCCCAGTAGTTTCTCTGACTAGGGGAACAGGCCAATCGAAGGAGAGGCTTTGCTTAAAAGATTTCCAGCATTCGCATTGACTGTCCTCACATTCTAGAGGATAACTACAGATTTCTCCCGGGTAGTATGGATCAGCAAGCTTGGAAGAGAGCCTAGGAGGAAACTCACCGAGACTACCTGCCATTCCAGAAATGGCAGGCAGCCTCGGTGAGTCAGAGAAGCTGAGCAGGGCACGCTTGTCTTGTTCTCCCTCTGCTCTCTGGGAGCAGGCAAAGAAACAGAGAGGCTGGTGAGGAGACAGAACTTCACAAGGTAAGTGACCCGGCGCACCAGGAGGGGGGGGGGCATTGTGGAGACCCCAGGAGAGGGAGAATGAGGTATCTCAGTGGGTCGGGGGAGGTCTTGAATGGTCTGAAGCAGGTGGCCTGTTCCATCACTAGGCCTTCATGGTCTTCCCCACCCTGAGATAGCTCCTGTGCACTTAACAACCCACGCATTCAGTTAGCGAATGCGTGGGCGAAAGGGAGCAATCACGGTCAAGTGATGTGATTCACTCCTACGAATCCTTGGGTTACGAATGTAATGAGCTGGCTCCGTTACATTCGTAACCCGAGGACTACCTGTACAGCTATTCGTAACACCAGGACTACCTGGTGGCTCTACTATCACAAACATATCACTTTCTAGTTGCAATATATGAATTTATGGACAATATATGGACTACTGTAATGCTCTCTACATGGGGCTCCCCTTGAGGAGCACTCGGAGGCTCCAGTTAGTCCAGAATGCAGCCGNGGGAGACAGGATAGCAGTGTTCCAATATCTCAGGGGCTGCCACAAAGAAGAGGGAGTCAGGCTATTCTCCAAAGCGCCTGAAGGCAGGACTAGAAGCAACGGGTGGAAACTAATCAAGGAGAGAAGCAACCTAGAATTAAGGAGAAACTTCCTGACAGTTAGAACAATTAATCAGTGGAACAACCTGCCTCCAGAAGCGGTGAATGCTCCAACACTGGAAGTTTTTAAGAAGAAACTGGACAGCCATTTGTCCGAAATGGTATAGGGTTTCCTGCCTGAGCAGGGGGTTGGACTAGATGACCTCCGAGGTCCCTTCCAACTTTATCATTATTATTATTATTATTATTATTATTATTATTATTATTATTATTATTATTAGCATTGAAATTCCAGTTGTACATGGCTGATAATCATTATGAGCTAAGGCTCCAATTTCAAATGAACATGGAGACCATGTTACATAACACGTGCTAATAGGGGGCTCAAATTCATACCTATGCAAAATGTAAGAAATATTAAGAACCCTGGTGGTGCAGAGGTTAGAATGCAGTACTGCAAACTTTGTCCACAGCCTGGACTTCAGTCCTGACAAGGCTTGAGGTTGACTCAGCCTTCCATCCTTCCAAGACTGGTAAAATGAGGACCCAGACTGTTGGGGGCAATATGCTGACCCTGTAAACCGCTCAGAGAGTAAAGAGTAAAGCACTATGGAGCAGCACTACGGAGCACTAAGTGCTAGTGCTATTAAGTATTAAAAATTAGTTAAATTAAATTAATAAAACAATTAAAATCAACTATAGCAGCAATTTTAATAGCAAGGCTGGACTAAGCAATACCTAACACTTACAGGACGATTGGGGAAATGCTTAAGAATTTGCGGGAGGATGTCCATTGTGTGCCATAGTCAATCTGCTCCCAGTGTGTGAGTAGGCGATCCTTGCCCTGATCAGATGTTTCGAAGGGAGTTCCTTTCACTGTATGGAGAAACCAATACATCACCTGGGAGGAACAAAAAAAAAAAGAGTAACAACTTTCTTTCTTTCTCTTTCTTTCCTTTCTCTCTCTTTTTTCTCTTTCTTTCTTTCTTTTTTTCATAATTCTTAACCGTCCACCTCCCTTTCTTACTTTCCTGAAGAATACAACAAGAAACCTTACAACAATAATGATGCAAAATTACCTAGGGCAGTGTCATGGTTCCGACAGACAGAGACAAATAAAGCAGAACTCCAAGGCTTGCAACTTCCTCAAGGAACATGTTTATTGATACAAAGTATTGGCACATCAAAAGTGAAACCAAGTCTGAATAGACACCTAACAATCTCCAATACAAAGTTAAGAAATCCCACCCCTAAAGCTATGCAAGCTATGCAAGTTCCCCAATACATCTTCTTGGTAGGCTTTTCACGAAACACCCAGCCTGCAGTCACGGGAGCAGCCGATGACCTTGGTTCCCATGGGAGAAAAATCTGTTTAGTCTAGCGAAGCACCTGGTAAACCCCCCTCCTTCCGTGCTACGTGTCAACCAAAAATGAGTAGGGAAAATGGCTGCAGCCACACTCATTTTCAAAGTTAACAGCAGGACTATTTTAGAAAAAAAATATTCCTAAATAAATTGTACAGTGAATGAAACCACAGTTGGATGGAATGTGGTCATTTGTGGCAGGCCTTATAGGAGGCTCCAAGATTAAAAGCTGTCTATTTGTATCCTAAAAGCTCAGAACATGGCCAATAACAGGATTAAAGAGTTTTGACTTACCAGGTTATGGATAACATTAGTTAGAGTCCAGACCACGGGGACACTGAAGAAGGGAATGCTAAGAAAGATGATATGGAGCACAGCCACAGAAATGCTGTAAGCTAACCAAATGCCTCGGCTGTTCATCACCCGTGTGTTGGGATTCATCTCACTGTGGGCTACTCCAACATTCATGCTGTTGGGGAAAGATACATTGGTGTGTATATCTGTAGTTACCCATATGTTGGTATATGTGTGTGAATGCACATCAAAAAACAGAACAGGCCCTCTTTAGCCTTGGTAGTTTGGGATGGGGAGAACAAACCTGAGCTATATGACGCCAAATCAAAATACTGTCTTAGAATCACTCAGTTAATCCTTGCACATCCCCTAATTTCCTCATAACAATGGGGTACCGTTAAGGCAAGCTGTTAAAATATTTGTACACTAGTTGGCAATAATCTTTCACAATGTTCTTTTCTCACAGAAAAGGCAAGCATCTAGGGTTTGAACCAGAGCCTTCACGACATCACCAAGTCAGCCCATAGTGGTGATATAAAGCTGGATATCATCAGAATCACAATATCTTATCCCAGGGGTTTCCAATCTTGGCATCTTTATGATTCGTGGACCTCAACTCCCAGAATTCCATGGCTGTCTGGGGAATTCTGACAATTGAAGTCCACAGGTCTTAAAGTTGCCAAGGTTGGACACCCCTGCTTTATTCCATGCAGTAAGATGACCTCATCCAGCAGCCTCTTGTAGATATAAAACAGGAATGGAAGACTGTGGGCTACAACAGCGGCCCCCAACCTTTTGGGCACCAGGGACCAATTCTGTGGCAAGAGGTTTTTCCGCAGACCGGAGGGGGCGTGGTTTTGTGTGCTGCCTGCATCCCACCGATGGGGCTTCGCTTGTTTGCGTAGTCCGGTTTCTGGCATGCCGTGGCCGCTGCCTGTCCACAGACCAAGGATTGGGGACCCTGGGCTAGATCTCTCCCCACTATCAACTCCAACTGGACAAGCCCAGAGGAGGGAGTCACTTAATTTTATTATCAGAGCCATAACTGCGAGGCAGAACAAAACAAACGGTGACAGCAGTTTTTTGTTATTTGCCTAGCTTCCTGTTGCTGTGATAGTAAGGAGCAGCAACACACATTCTTTCCACCCTGAATCTGCAGACCACAGTGACGACTGGGAGAAAATTATGCATCTCCCAGGGGATTTCATCATCATAGTTTCCTTGTAAAGAAAGACTATATCTATATCTTCTATTATCTTCTATATAAATAAAAATGTAAATGTTCGTTTGTTCAAAATCTTAAATCTCCGAAAGTTCTTCACCGATTGCTTTGAAATTTTGACACAACGTTGCATTCGAATACGCGCGTGTTTTTATATACCTACTATTATATATATGTCATACCTGTGACAGGTAAAAACATTTAACCTGTCTGAGCCACAGCAACGCGTGGCCGGGTACAGCTAGTATATATATATAGCGTTGCTGTGGCCGGGTACAGCTAGTGTGTGTGTGTGTATATATATATATATATATATATATTCGTAGACCTGCATACCTGCATATATATATGTATATATAAACACCTAACTATACTCACTTCATTGCTGTTTTTCCAGCACAACTGCCTTCCTTTTTTTTTTTTTTAATTACTGTGGCATTTTCCGTTTAAGGACTATTTTAATGGATATGAACAGCTCTGGAATTAAGAATGTTGCCGGAAAGCACAGACATTCCGGAGGTCGAGAAACCCAGAGCGCCTTGCAATGGTACGTTCACTAGCCCTGATGATGTCACCTAGTTTTGGTAATGAAACGTCTGCAAGAAAACAAGCCAGCTCAGAGAGCACCCAGGACCCCTTCACGTTCGCTTCTTAGCTCAGCCTTCCTCCATCGGAGGTTAAGAAAACAGCTTGAGGTCAGCTTTAGTAGCTCCGTCCCATCTCAAGGGCTGGAAGCTGGGAAAAAGGGAGGATATTCTACTCCGCTCAGGACGGTCCGTGTTTTGTTAGTTTAGAAAGCGCATTGAAAGCTTCCTTCTATCTACACGGAGAGTAAAGCGGCGGACATTCTCGCTCCTCGTTCAATCCCCTAAAAAGGATCTTTTTCTTCTTTTCTCACGGGGAGCCCCCAGTTCTGCTCCAGCCCTCATCAGCTGCCTACCTGCCAGCTTCCGCGACGGCGCCCGCCGCTACTAAACGAGAAGAAGATCCCCGGCAGTCTCTTCTCCTCCGCCCGCAGGTACAGCGCGGCCGGTTTTCTAACCCCTCTCCCCACTCCCGTCTCTATTTCCTCCTCGCCAGTCAGCAAACGCTTCCTTCCTATTGGCGGTTTCCTTTTGCCACTCTTACCCTCCATCCGGTTCCTCGCCCCGGAACCAACGGCGAGGGGCGACGTTTGGAAGGTGCAGGGTTCCGAGTGAAAGCGCAGCTCGGATTGGGCAAAACTCGGAGAGGGTTTTTTTTTTTTCTGGGGGGGAGGGGTTTGCGTCCTGGGCGTGGATTGTTGAGGGAGGCGAAGCTAAGATGGCAGCGGAGACGGTCGAGCTGCACAAGTTAAAGGTATTGAGGCCGGTCTGGGCGGAAGCGCGCCTTTCGTTTGCCCCGGAGAAGCAGCGCTCGGCCTTCTCCTCTCTCTCGACTGTAGGAGGGAGCTGCCTTCCGTTCGTGGGTGGGTTCGTGGACGGACTTCTTTGTCACCTTTTCCGTGAGCGCGGGAAAGAGATGCTGTGATTCTCCGCACGCCGCGCGTCTGGAGTCGCCTCCCGCCCCGGACCTGATCTTGCCCGATGGCCCTTCTCTTCCCACCGTTGTTCTTCTCTGCCCTTTTCAGAGAACGGCGCCCCTTCTTTTCTCACCTTTGTTTTCAGGAACTACAAACCGCCTGAAAGTGCTCCGTGTTGGGTTTTTTTGTCGTCCTTTTTTTTTTTTTGCGGCTTATGCTCCAGGAGCTTGACTCGGCAGTTGAACAAGTAAAGCTTTTTGTGATAGACTCGCAGTGTTTCTCAACCGTGACCATTTTAAGGCATGTGGACTTCAACTCCCAGAATTCCACAGCCAGCAATGCTGGCTGTGGAATTCTGGGAGTTGAAGTCCACATGCCTTAAAATGGTCAAGGTTGAGAAACACTGTGATAGAGTATGGAAATTCAGTATGGAAATTCAGGAAATTCTATCACAATTCACTGTGATAGAGTATGGAAATTCAGGATAGAGTATGGAAATTCAGGACTATACTATACTATACTTGTCGGGCAGCTGCTAGCGTGAACTTATAAGAAAATCATTAATGTTTCATTACTGTGCTCTAATACCTTAAAACGATGGATCCAACTTGAGTTTCTTCCTTGACCCATGTTAATGTATTTTTGAAGAAATTCTTCGGTTTTCTTGGTTTCAGACTCCCAACTGATGCTTTTCTTTCAAGGTCAGGTTGATGTAAAAAATGGAGAGTCGTCCTTAAATCTGCCTGCAGGAGTGCCACTCTACAGGTAGACCAGATCAGGAAAACAGCTCCACAGGAAAATTAAAGCTATACTTTATTGAAATGGGCTATAGTAACAGAACCTTGTCTATTTCGCTGAAGGTCATCTCTTTCACTTGTTAAAAGGAGGCTTTGGCCTGATTTTTAGATATTAACTTTATTTTTTATATGTCTGTAGGAAATCACGTATTTGATTAAGATTGCATCTTTTCTACTTTAACAGCTTGCAGAGTTGAAACAGGAATGTTTAGCCCGAGGATTGGAGGCAAAAGGAAACAAACAAGATCTCATCAACAGACTCCAGGCATATCTAGAGCAGCATGGTAAGTTCCTTGCTGTTCTTTGTTAAGATCTTCCTTGGTTGAAGTGTACAGTATGTTAATTTGTAGCGTAAGTAATCAGGTATTCTGTAGAAAAGATGGTTGTTACAGCAAGAAATGTTAATGTATTTACTTCTAGTGGAAGTAAAGTCACAGGCTTACACCCACTCTTAATTCTTTTTTCCTAACTCCAGAATAGAAGTAATATCTTAGTGAATAGTGGCATGATGAGAGGAAGATGATGGTGACGGCTGCATTCTTAAGAATTAAGCTCATTGGGGATTGCTTGCTAGTATGATTAGAGTCTGTGATAAATGTTTATTCTTCGGTAGGAAGAATTTTTTTCTTTATAGCTTAATCTTGGGATCTCCAGTCTGGTGCCTTTGACAGTTCTCTTGATGTCTTCAGGGTTCTGTGTTCTACCTGATATTTTTACTAATGTCATTGACTACACCACCATGTAGGTTTCCTAGCTGCCCAAGTATTGTTTTAATTTTAATGAATTGCACAATGACTGCTTTTCACTAGGAGTTAAGTAAGCGCAGATAAAATGGAGGCTAATGCATAGTAAGAAATATCCAGTAATGGGAATCCAGTCAAAGTACAAATATGTACATCAGCAATTTCCATAGACTCTTAACAATAATAAAAAGCCAGTTTGTTGGTGTTGGCCTAGCAACCAAGAAACTCTGAATTCTAATTCCATCTTAGACATAAAAGCCAGCTGGGTGAATTTGGGCCAGTCACTCTCTCTCTCAGCCCAACTCATCTCACAGGGTTATTGTGGGGAAAATAGGAGGAAGGAGTGTTATGTTTGTTCACTACCTTGAATAATGAAGGCAGTGAACTTATGCAATTATAAAGGGGATAAAAATCTTATCAATAAAGGAACAGTTCCATAAATTGTGCTCTACAGCCCAGATGTCTTTAGCTGTGATGACATTTTATAAATTGGCAGTTCCTGATCATTTGCTGCCAGATGATACTGTAAGCCCTCAATTGACACTGGTCTGCTTCATGTTTCTCACAAAGGATTTGTTCCTCTATACCCATTTGCTTTATTTTCTTTATTTATATGGTTGACATGCTGCCTTTTTTGCAAGAATTCAAAGTAACTTGCATAAAGATCACTCTTTAATTTTTCCCCACAATACCAACCCTATGAGATAGGTTGAGCAGAGAATGAATAATTGACCTAAAACCACTTGGTGAGCTGTGAGTAACAATGGACTTGAATCCTAATAGAGCTAATAGCGCTATACCAGACATGTCAAACACAAGGCCCGGGGGCCGGATGCAGCCCTTGAAGTGGTTTCATGTGGCCTGTGAAGCCATCCTGGAAACAGTGAGGGAACGGCCCCCGCTGCCTTGGCCTTGGCCCAGGCCAGCCGGGAGCCAATGTACAATTTTGTGGTGGCCATCTTGGTACTTGCCCCGGTGGACCATGCCTTGGCACTTGCCCCAGTCCCACCCCCTTTTGCCAGAGACCCTCAGATCTGTCCCACTCCTGCCCAGGCCCCCATAGGCACCCTTGACGCGAATGATGTAGAACTGGCCATGCCCACCCAGTAGCCATACCCACTCCATCCACGCCCACCCAATAGGCTGCACCCACTCTGGCCACACCCACCCAGCCCCCCCAGGGCAACCACAATGCTGATGCGGCCCTCAGTGAAATTGAGTTTGACACCCCTGCTCTATACTATTCTGTTAATAATCACTACTGCTTGTAGTCATATCTAACATATTGTAAATAGTAATTTTGAATATAGAGACAGGCAGAAACCTTGCTTTGTAGCAGTAAACTAAAATCATTGTTTTCTATGAGGACTAATTTCTTTTTCTTTATGAAAAGAGCCATCCATAGTCATCTTATTGGGGAGATGGGCAGCATAAAAAATTAATAAAATAAAAGAGAAAAGAAGCTTTAGTCAGAAAATAAAATTCTTATTGAATTGAAGAGAACAGGAAACAAATTTGAGCAAAAAAAGTACAAGAAAAAAATGGGATGCAATAAAGAATTTGCAGAGCCCTTTGACATAATTTGTAACCCATTTGATTTTCAGTTTTTTATTTATCTTTTAGATTTCTGTACCACGAGAAGCAGTATCTAACATCATAAAAACACATTCATAAACATTAACTTTATTAAGACTTCAAAAGCACACTTAGAAGAAAACTAATAATAGTACAGTACAAGTACTAATGTATCTAGGTAAAATTGCAACTATTTTTCCTGTGGTTTCTAAGTGGGGAAAAATAATTATATTATTGAGAGGCAATATGACCTTTAAGCAATTGAAAATTAAAGGTGAAGTGAAGAAAAATAAATGGACATTTATCCAGGGAAGGTATGTGTGTGTGGAGGGGGGGTTGGTGTGTATGTATGTAGGGCAGATGAGCTGAATTTTTCAGAAAAGAACTGACCGAGATAATAAGTATATTCTAGGGTCATTGGCAAAAAAACCCCTAGATTCAGGTATCTGCTCATGGAAAATTTATCTATATCATGTTTGAATTCTTAATTGTGGGTAGCGGGTAGAGGGAGCTAGGAAATTACAGCCTGGATACTTTAACAACTGGACTAAGAAAATTGATCAAAAAAATTGTCAAGCATATTTAATAATACATTTTCCTGAAAAAAGAAGCAATATGATTGCTGTATGAAAGGATGGCTTAATTCAAAAGATATGGTGGGCTGACTCTGAATGTGTCATTTAAGTGAAACTGCACGCAGATTAAAAAATTAATGGGTTAAAAGAAGAATTTGCGATAAATTGTCACTATGTACAAACATCAAATATAAAATGTAAAAAATGTGATGTCTGAGGGCCTGAAACCTATGATGGAGAATGTAAATTAAAACACCAAGAGGAGAGGACCAGTGTAATAATGATGAATAAAATATGTGTTGTTACTTGCTTAACAACTGCCCTGTTTAGCAATCAATTGTTCAAAGTTACAGCATCACTAAAAACTAACTTTATGACTGGTCTTCACATTTATGACTGTCACAATGTCCTGCAGTACCATAATTGAGATTTGGGTGTCTATGGAGATTCTCAGTCATCCAGGTCATAGTTGTCCCAAAGATGCTTTTTCATGAGGCAACTGGACTTTCTTGTTTTTCTTTGAAGATGTTTTGCTTCTCATCCAAGAAGCTTCTTCAGCTCTGACTGGATGGTGTCTGGTCCAGTTGCCTCGTGAAAAAGCATCTTTGGGATGAGATTTGGGTGCTTTGCAACCAGTGGGTGTTTATGAGTACAGTACTGTAGCACCCTAAGGCCACGTGATTGCCATTTGCACACTTCACAACTGGTTTCTGAGAAGTTGTAAATAGAGAAGCTGGCAGTAAAATTGCAAGTCGCAATCATGTTTTGTCTCACTTAACTACTGGTGACTTGCACAATGACTATGGCACTTATAATGGATAGCTAGTCCCAATTGTGGTAATCAAACAAGGACTATCTGTAGCCCTTACCTGTAG